CTAACCCTAAAATCTAAACTCTGAAATAAACACAAACTTGATGATAAACAAACTAATCAAATTTTTAAGTGAAGGCACTACAAAGTACTTTTGCATTACAGATGATGTCAGTTCATGATGAAAATTCCAAGAGTAATTCTTGAATCCTAATCTTAACCAAAAATATTGTGAGGACTCTTAAAAATCTATTTGGGTCCTTACCAAGGTTTGAGGAGACGGATAGTTTATATCCATAAGGATGAATTTTTATTTCATGACGTTTACTCCCATAGACAGTATAATCTACAGGAAACTTGAACAGATTCTTAAAAGATACAAAATCCAATTACATTTTAAATTCACTTAGTATTGTTTGTTTGAATCTTCCCATTGATGTTTAAGACTGCAACTGGTCAGTCTCTTGTTGGCATATGTGCATACTGTGCGTATCGCCTAGATATAGCCTTAATTCACAAGCATGGTAAGCAAAGATGGATAGCGGCTAGCAGTGGAATCCAGTTTGACAGGCGTTTCATCCTGTTGGCTATCAGGACTCAGTAGCTGAGTGGATAATGCAATGACGTTTGAAGCAAAAGGTACTGTGTTCAAGTCCCAGATTGAACATCAACAAGTCTGAGATTCAGGTACATTCAGCTGACGAGTCCCAAATAAGACGAAATGCGCGTCAAACTGGATTCCACTCCTAGCTACCATCTAACTTTGCTTACTAATTACGTTTTGTTTTATTTCTCTACAAGTTATTCATCTATAATGGCTGTTTTCTAACTGGCTAAGAACTTTTTATCCTCACAACCTTATCATAAAATAAACGAAACCAATCACGTAAATTCCGAATGAATCAATAATTTATATTAAATATTTCAATCTATTATCATTCTCTATTGTTTCTCTCTTGTTACCATCTATTTAGAAAAGTTGCACACACCTAGGAAACATAATTCGTTAGCTTACAAATGCAATACTATAATAAATATAACATGTACAAGTACAAACAAGAATACATAGCTGTGGACAAATCATTAATTTGTCCAAATCTAGTACTGTTCTATTCAATAAAAATGGGGGTGTTTTTTTTTTCATTCCACCCCGCTATTACTATTATGATTGTTATTACTATTTAGATATAGTAACAACATTAAATTGATGTATGGGAATAGAATGAAACCATACAGAGTTGCCATTCATACTAACCATTTTACAATCTATCCCTTTTCATTTAAATCATTTAACGTAAAGCTTCAGATAATTAATTTATTGATCCATCCTATGAAAAACTAATGATCATTAATTTTATATAGTTGAAATTATGAGCCAATTGAAGCTATACCACGATGGAAAATCTGGAATCACTAGACGGCCGTTTCATCCTATTAGGGGACTCTTCAGTGGCAGTGAACATCCACGATTCCACCTCACGAGATGAAAATCCAGGACCTACAAATATCAGCTAGAATAAAATTTCGGTTCAAATTTTCCTGTCGACTACTTTTAACCACCTAATATCTGTTTATTGATACCGATTACACCAGAAACGGGTAAACGATGGTCTTTTGGTAGAATACATCTCACCATAGTATTTCATGTGATCCTTGAGATCATTTAGATACATTAGCAACATTAAATTGATGTATGGGAATAGAATGAAACGACATAGAGTTGCCATGATTACTAACCATTTTACAATCTATCCCTTTTCTAAATGAAGGTATTTGTTCATTTAAATCATTTAAAGTAAAGCTTCAGATAATTAGTTTATTGATCTATCCTGTGAAAAACTATTGATCATTAACTTTATATAGTGTTGAAATCATGAATCAATTGAAGCTAGATCACCATAGAAAACCTAGAATAACTGGACGGCCGTTTTGTCCTATTGTGGGATTCCTAAGTGGCAGTGCTCATCTACGATCTCGCCTCGTGAGATTTGAACCCAGGATCTATCAGTCTCATTAAGTTGAAAATAGATAGTAAACAGTAGATAAACTATTGACTGAGGTTTGCGTTGGTTAATCACTGAGTTATGATTAATATTATGTTTGTTTAGGTGTTGTTGCTGATCGGAGTTTATTTTCCAAGCTCCAACGAAGCATAACTCCATGTAACTTAATACCCTCTTTACTATGCTTTGATGTTAGGCCGTTAAACATAGTCAGTAGAACACTCTATATTTAGGTTTTTATGCTAGTAAGTACACATCAGCAAGTTGTACATGATCAGAATGAAATTCGATTAGCACCAAGGAATAAACAAATATACCAGTAGCCACCACGGAGTGACAAACCTATGTATATAAGTCACCCCTAAATGACGTCAGCCATGACCAAAATGGCACAAGGTTAGTGCCTCAGACTGTGAACCGGAGTGACAAGTGTTCGGATACCAAATGGATCATCAGTTTCCTAAAGGCCACATGAACATCTTTTCTACAAATATCAGCTAGAACAAAATTTCGGTTTAAATTTTCCTGTTGACTACTTTTAACCACCTAATATCTGTCTATTGATATCGACTACACCGAAAACGGGTAAACGATGGTCTTCTGGTAGAATACATCTCACCATAGTATTTCATGTGACCCTTGAGATCATTTAGAAGCACGCTTGAGAGCAGACAAAAGAGAGATCACTTTGAGTTATTTTCAGGCTATCGTACGCAACGTAGAATCTGTCACATGTGTACATCTGCCGAAATCACCCCACATTACTAGCTCGGCGAGATGAAATTACCATGGTTAATATTAGAGTAGTAGAGGTAGTAAAAGTGGTATTGGTAGAAGAGATTAGGTATCAAAAGGACTAAACGAAAAATATATACATTAGTGGTAATTTAAAAACTTAGGACGAAAGAGAAGATAGGGTGAATACAACTGTGCCTTTGTGAATGATTCTGAGGCATGTCACTCAAAGTCTCCAAACACTATATACGATATTCACGCAGACTCCAACCAAGAAGTCTGCACCTACCTGCATAACCTAAGTCAACAGCCAGTGTCTTTATGGACTGAAAACCGTGGTTCTTTATAATAGAAAAGAGTAGAAAATGATAGTTGGAATCAAACTCACTATGCTGTTTATACAACTTACTAACCTTCGTTGTCCTCATTTTCGGGACACTAGGAACACATTATATTCAACTAAGACCTGTTGAAATATAACGCTATTGTATTCCAGTGCTCAAGAATGAATTTCTAAAACATTATGAAGATTCGAAAGCGTTTATACCACAGCTTAGTAGTTTTTCAACTTCTTACATTAAAATAAGCTTTCATGGTTTTCAGATGAAACTAATAAACCTTCAAGCTGACGACATCTTAAATGAAGACTTAAAACGTGCAAATATTTGGTAAGTTCGAATTGTTTCGCAAGAAGGGAAATTCTGCTTCACTTTATTGATCAAATAATCGATTATCATCATCATAAATTCAATTTAACCAATCAAAATTCAGACGTCACTTCACAAATCTCATGGGTGAATTGGCAGGCTTATAACTTACGATTACTTTGGCAAATATTTTTTTTCTCTCTTACAAATGATGCCTGTTGGTATACCTTTGCTACACACTATTTAATACAGTGGCCAGGAGCTCCCCAGTTTTAACTTATTGTAGAGACTAAATAGGGTGATGGATACTAGCCTACAATCCCAATGATTTTATTTGGAAGTTGCGATCGTAAAACAGTAATATGTCATTCATTTTAATACTCCTATTTGCTGCTTAAAAGGAATTGATAATAGCTTTTATGAGAAACTATGGACTTCGAATAAATTTAAACTTAGAGAAGTTGATAGAACTGCTAAGATCTGGAAAAACGAGGCCTCAGATATGTATCTGAGCTTGTTACTCTTAGATAAGAACGAATTAATAGCAAACATATCCAACATGGCGGCACTGAAGTTAAAGACAGATGCTAGCAATTAATATTAACAACTCAATATCAGCCAATAAATTCTCAAAAGATTTTGAAATTTAATCCCCATCCTACCGGTTTTAGAGATTTACCAAGTATATTTTATAGGCGGTACTATCGTCACTTGTCTGATAGCTTTGCCTAACAGCGATTTTGTTTTGTACCACTCTAGTCAGTTGAAAAATAAGTTTATTCAATGGATTAATAATGAGCCTGAATCTCATTACTGATCAAAGCAAATGGAGCGAAAATATGGAATAAACCAACATGATAGATGATTCAACATTAGTATACGGTGCTTTTTTACAGAGTGTTTAGAGACAAACTAAAAGTAAACTGACCACAGTTTATTTCATACAGATACTGATCGGCAGGTTGAATTCCCTGATAGCATATACTTTATCATTATCGATGGAACTTCAATATTCTGCTTAAATCTTTTGAGCCGAATGAGTTTATTATTATTCATTTATTTATCCATTAAACCCCTTTATTTTGCTTATATTAGCCAGTAACCATTCTTTAAATTGAATAAACACTCACTCAACTACTTGAACAGGTTATTTTATGTTAATTATTCAATACGATTGTTGGATTCATAAAAATAGATGGTTTATTGACAGTCACTATCAGCCAAAATACCAGTTAAACTCAAACGGACAGTAAACTCCTTGATGTCCTGAATATTTATAAAGCTGATATCAGTTTTTATGAAGTAAATGACTTTTAAGCTAAACAAAATCTCTGCAGAACCAACCAGACAAACTGCAACTGGTAATAGATTGAGTTCGTATCCTTTGACAACTTCATAAAACCTGCACACTCGAAAATAAACAACCTATACAAGTTAAAATGTTTGAATAGCAGAAGTAATTAATCATATCATAATAGCAGTGATTTCATACAAACAAGATAGAAACATGTTGTTTGTTACACGTCAATCATAACAGTATTTAGTGGATGAATAGTGTATATAGCCGTTTCGCGGATAAGTGGATGTAAATAAATATGAAAATATACATGAGCCTTCAAATGCATGAATGAAACACAACCAAATTTAATTAATCATAGAAACAAAAAGTTGCAACTCACATGAGGACGTAACCATTGAATTTGTTTTGGCGGTCTTTGACTGAAGTATAAACTTTTATCATTGGGTGGAAACTCGGGATCTTCGAATAATTTACCACTTTGAAGCAGTTGTTTTTTTAACTGGTCATACGATAATGATGCAGAGGATACATCACCACCTCTCGTGGCTGGTATAGGCTTGGTTGCCGTATTACCATAATCCGGTGGTACAACCACTTTATTATCACGTGCATCACGAAGAGTTGCACGTGGATCTTTGAAACGGCCAAGATTGATTGTACCACCTGAACTGATCGTTAAACCATAACGTCCAATCAACGGTGCATTCATTCCCTTAATATAAACGGTGAAAAGAAAGAAAATTATCCATTTAATTTGTCCTATAATTGCATAGTTTAATTTTTACCTTTAACAGTCTTAATATTATCTCATCTACTAAACATAAGTTTATCTACTTACTTTTGTGTATGAAGACTAGTGATATTATTCAGTTGTCCGCAAGCCAAAGTGGATTAGTCGACGTATAAACTAAACATAATGTTACTGAGAGTCAAGTGGATTAACCACTAAGAGCAAGGGCAATTCACAGTGTGATTAGTAGAGGGTTGCTGAAAAATCTTTATTTATTTTAGCATCATTTATCCTAACAACTAAATACACTAATATTTATTTTAAAATGATCACCACAAGGACTCGATCACTTCACATATTGCTTTTGAACATTAAATGTCCATTTTATGCTAAGATAATCACATTATATGAATTCAGAAATAATACTGTTAGTCAACGAGATAGAAACCTTTTTCGTCTCACTGAAGTTTGAGAAAGTAACTTAGTGATTTTGTAACAGATTCAAGTACAAGTCAATTCACCCATAGGAGGAAGCATGCTTAACTCCTCTTAAAGTAACCGATCAAATTGGTTGAAGGGTTTTTTTCTTTTAGAGACTATTTGATTCATCATAACGCATTTAAAGTAACATACCTGAAACGATAAAACTAGTCCCCTTCTGAATACAGTCATGTACAACCCAAATAACTCGGAATCTTAATAGTTTTACAAATATTGTCTTAAATAACCTGACTTCAAGTCCTTAAATAAGGATACAATTCAGTAAGATCGCAGATATCTCTTATTTATCAAAGGTATAACAATAAATGTTGTTATCCTAGATTAGAATACATTATCGTGTTGCCTCGAGTTTTCAGACTTTACTCTACATAAAAATTCATTACTTTCCTAGTTTTTATGAAGAGTTCACTCTTACTGGCAAACATGATTTCTTATGAATACTAGCTAATACTCAGTGAAAATACAAATTTGTCGTGCATATCAACAAATTTGTTTTTTACTCATTTACTCAGTTACTTAAACAGTTGCGTTCTACATTTATACATAATAATGTTAGTGATCGTCGAATCAAATTAATCATAATTTTGTCAACATTTGATAACCCCAGAACCAAAGATGTGAAATAACTGAGACCAAAATATCATTGTATTGTTCACTTGAGAGTTATTTCACTGACGAAAAATTGATTAGAGTGAGACATAATGATTTTAAATTCAGAGTTTAAAACTAGAAAGGTTAAAGTAAGTAACATTCATCATATCACAAATGAGTTTGATCATGAATTGATATGTCAGTTAGCTGGCAAAATACTGAAAAAATACAGAATGAATATTTCGCTTTAATATGAAAGTTCTCCGACGTGAGCTTTGATGACTTAATACATGATAAAGCCTAACAGTTGGTCTTCAACTCAATAATATATAATTATATAAATCTATTTATTGAGATGGAAGATTCAGAGCTAGATCGCCACACTTATTTCCAAAGAGATCCCCAATGGTTTCTTGACTTTTTTCTTATCAACTTCTTTTGAAATGTTAAAAATTAACTAGAAATAACTGGACGCGTGGGTTATTTCCGAAACAAAACAATATCTCAAAAGCTAATAAATTTGAAGTACTGTTAAGACTGTGGAGACAAGTAACATGATCTTATTATGTTGGCAAGCTTTATTGTCATTCTCATTTTCATAGCTTTATATAACTTTTGCGAATAATATAAGTGATTGCATAATAACTGCTTAAAATGAACCTTAATCTTCCGTTACCGTGTTGTTCTCTGCTCTCATGATGCTGATTTCCGCTCAGAAATACACTGCTGCACTCATTTATTGTTCACACTTAAAAGCTGCTGCGATAGCAGAATTCTAATACATTTTTATCTACGTCCGCAGATAGCAGTGAGATCCTCATTACGTGATTAGTTCGGATACACATTATCTTGGGTTATACCTATCATATTAGACGCTTAGTGAACCAAATGATTAACACTTAGAATCTACAACCGTAGGTGGGATTTTTACTTTCAACTGGTTAATTTAAGGAAAAGTTAATAACAAACACAAGTTTACTAGAAGAGAATTAACATGAGGTGTCATCCTACTACCGTCGAAGCACAGTTCCGAAAATATGAATCTGATGATTCTGCGCACCAAATCACTAATGTTGAATGATTCCTAAACAAGTTTGTAAAGAACGCTGTGAAATCTCCGTATCAATGGTTTTGCAATAGAAAACGTGGTTTACATGACATATTTGATCAACTATCTGCAGTTTAAGCATATACATATACAGAGATATTTATGAATATTCATAAATATCTCTGTATATAAAATGCAACCATAAACGCATTCTGTCACAAAAAGGATGGTTACCAAGAGGCTCAAAATTACTAGGTGAATGAAAAATTAACTTTCATATATGATCTATTAATTATATCCAAACGACATATATACATTATCATATCATACTAACATCTGTAGGTACTTACGATAAAGGCGCCCTTTGATCCAGCATCATCAAACACTTTTGTCTCTATTGATTTCTTGATAAATGTTGTGGCGCTAGAGACATAGTTGTTTAAAGCAGGAGTGGAAAACAACGACATCTTGTTGGCAAATCAAAGAAGGTATATATTACGCGCGCTTACAGTACGAACTGAAGTGGTGAAGTAAAACGAAAAGTGTAATTACCAAATAGGAGAAATGAAGGCCTAATAACCTTTAGATTTTTTACGGCATACAACTAAATAGGAATTCACCAGAAAATTATTTCCCATTCTAATGTGAATTTACAAATCGACTTTAACAACCTAAATACATGTATCAGTTACAGATCACCACCTAGTGTTCCCGTGAATTTAAAACTTTATCCCCGTACTACGAAAACACTAAAAATAAACGGCTACGTTAAGTTACTCTCCGGTATCATATTTTTCACGGCCAATACATCTGTTAGAACTCATTCAGTGCTGAAATACTGAATGAAAAGGTAGAATAACAGGATTTTCAGTGAAACGATTTCCTGATGAATAGCTAATTTAGCCTAATTCATCATCAATTCACCATATGAAACATAACTCAACCTTTGATTCCAAACTAAGAGTAGTAATGAAATTGAGAGGTGATATAGAGTCTCAGATATAGATGCATATGTTTTTACACTTTATAATCACAGCAAACATACCCTATCAACGAAAAATCTCGTTTTGTAAAGCAACTAGTTAATAATCGAATGTGAGTCACGCATGAGTGACTTCCGGCTTCTTTCAGATGCATAGCATACGGTTAAATGAATTTCAGACATAGTGAGACGCGAAGATGCATAATTTACTGAGAATACATGTTCTTCAGTACGTGAACTGATAGTGAACACATTCTGGACGTTACGTTCACAACTGAAAGCCTGCAATGTCTATTAATGTTAGTGCATATGCACTATCGACGTCAACGACTGGTATGTATACAATCAGTTACGCGGTGTGAATCATAATAGCTCCAACTAACTAACCGGTCCCTTTACATCAATTAGCGAGGCAAAATTTAGTGTGTAGTACGCAGTGCTGAAGTCTGAGTTGCTGTGACAATTAGTATCAGTCGTGGACGTATAGTGGTGTTAACAATCAGTTAAAATAAATTCAAGAAATATTCGAGACAAGGTTGACTAATTTTAGCCCCGTAACTTAGGTGCTTAAACATTTAGTCCATCTAGTTATAGGTTAGTCATTCTTATCTCTGGTCAATAGATACCATGAAATGAAGTCCCACACTTGTTAACTTTTCAGCTGGAAAAATTGATATATTAAGGAAACTGAAACTTATTTTACCTGTAGTAAACTAATGTTCAGTAATGAAGCATACAAATTTTGGTTTCTCACATTCATTCCCTATTACTTGGCATACTAAACACTTAACCCATGTGAAATTCGTTTAAAACAGTATACTATTTAAATATAGCCTGTAATCTTCTCTCAATACTATATCGTGAATTTAACTTAGGGTAAGAACTAATAAAATATGTGAGGCTGTATTTTATGCACTAACAGTGTCTAGGTATTGAACAGATTTGCATTATGTATTGCGTTATTGATGGGAGACCTTTCGTGTCTGCAGGCATTGCTCGTTCTATTGATAAAAGAAGCCAAACTAGTAGCGGAAAGGTCTTTATTTGGCTCGTGGTAGCACACAGTGTTCAAACACACAAGGCTTTCCATCGTTCAATATAAGATAATAAGAAATTAAATCCCTATATGAAATAAGGGAGTGAATGAATACTTGAGGCTTTTTGTCTTGACATATACTTAGTTACTACACATGAACTAGCCAATAAACCAAAGTTGTCATAGACCTAAAAAATTACGTTGACAAGAGATATTCAACCAAGCTGTACACTAAGTAAGATGATTGAAACAGCGCTAATGTAGTATCTTTAGGAAACACTACGAGGATTGCATGTTACACTCATCACGAAACCCGAGGAGGGTGAAGATGAAACTGTCATAAACACGTCCACCAGCAACACTTGTCTATCTAAACATATTGCTACAAGTTGTAAAAAGCAGTCAACACTCAAAGAATAATCATTTATTTATAATCATTATGACAGTATGCAAAGCCGTTTGTAGAGGGTTAATTCCTCTATATTTGACTCTGGAGAATAAATAATGTTCCGTTAACTAAATATATAACTCAGGTCAAATCTCCTAATAGAATAATGGATTTACTCGAGATTATTCAAAAGCCCGAACATCTGTAATAGAGATAGTTTATTGTTAAAGATTGGTAAAATCCAGGAGCGTACGGATGGCAAGCACATAGGGAAGACAAGTGAGTATCTGTGTATCAGTGAGTGTATTCAGGTTATATATGGGCAGAATACATAAAAAATAAATAGGACATGTATTTGCTTAACGTACACATCAGTCGTTATGGTGTTAGATACTGGCATCAAACGAATATTTTTTTATCCTTCACAATACTGTTATCTTCACCCGATGATGCAAAAAATTACCAGAACACATAAGTTGGGTGAAGTTGGATGTCGAAGGGATTCTCGGTGCGTTATTTCGGCTTCATGAAAATGATCAAGTGTACACAAATCAAAGTTCACACGTTTTCATGTAAGTCAATGAATCGTTTCACTATTATATGACGTTGTGCTTCATACGTGTCTGAACCGTTACATACCTTTGTAGGTGTAACAAATGGCGTATAAACCAACTGTTGACTACCGGCTACCATGTGACTGCATCTCCTTACGTTGCTCCACTGCCGTGTGGATTCGACCTTTAGGTTTATACTTGTCCAAGTACAGAGACAGGAAACTAACTGAATGGTAGAGCTAAAACACAAGCTTTGCTAAGGTAGACTATGAAAATTGAAACTGTTCTCCCAGAGCTATTGAGGAATAAGAGTTGACCTGACAATGACATATGACATTTTAGACATGACAAGTTATCAAACTCGAGTATTTTACCAGAATATTATCACCAATCTCCAAGAATGATCTTCCAGACAAAGTTATCACAGCCCCATCAGTGGATAGCTTTGAGAGGAGTGAAGATACCACCAGTATCGTAGTTTGGCAACTCTTTACCAGTAAAACCTATAATTGAATTGCGCTCACCCAGTTAAAATCAGAAGTCAGAAGAGAGGAGGTTGGAAGATGTATTTGATGGGTTATCAATATACCAAGAAGTGACTGATGTAATCTGGCTAACGATCGTAGAAGATGTTTCCCATGCAGTTCTGTAACGTGATCTGGTGCGAATGCACGACCGGGCGCCTTTAGCTAAATCAGTCCACTAAAACTAGTGTGGTCAGCATCCAATGTCGAACATTTACAAAGCTATCGATTTTGGGGAATTATTTACAGCTACAGGAGACTTGACAAATACGTACTCACCTATAGATTACTATCACCCTCTTGGACCAGCTGTGTCTGATGCATGTATCATAAATTACTACGGTTATCATTAACACATATCAGTAAATACTTATCGTCTCAATCATTATCATCGCCATTCCCCTTACTACTAATTCAATTTAGTCTTCTTAAACATTATCAATTAATTAATTGACTTATTTGGTTGTTGAAACATTCGTCTTCTCTTAGCACTTGAATAATAGCTTTACTATTTTCACATTGTAACCAACCAACCTCTTGCTTATTAATGTGGTAGTTGCTAATACCGAAGAACCCTAATGTTATCAGAAAAAATGCACTAACTCAAACTACAAGAAATACAAAAATCCACGAATAAATACCAAAGTTACTAGAATTAGAGCCATCGTGCGGTTATTCTACCACCTAAAATACATTATCGAATACCTGAAACAGTACCGAAATAACAAGAGGCGAGCACAAAGAGATTGATTGGCTTTTGTATGTCCGTCACAAAAACATTAGAGATATTCGAGATTCTGCGCATAGTTTGGAAGGTGCGTTACTCAGTAGGGCGATTGCATGTATATTATATTCTATCGGTGTCAACATATGATTACCCCTCTTATTTATAACGGTTAGGTATCACCGAAGCTTAAGACAAAATGCACTAATTTTGGGTGCATTTTTGGAAAGTGTTCTTAGTCTCGTAAATCTGCACTTGTAGATCTACATTTCTCGAGAAAGGGTGCGTGTTCCAAATGCGGCTCACCATTTTTGTGGGGCAAAGATCTGACTCCAATGAGATCGTATGAATGATTATTGTCAAAATATACATCTTATCTATCCTCGTATGTAATATATGACTTATTTAATTCCGTGGATTAAGTCAATCATTTGAAGTCATGTATTACATACAAGGATAGACAAGATGTATATTTTGACAATAATCATTCATACGACCTCATTGGAGTCAGATCTTGGCCTCACACACTCGACATAAAGTAACATACCACCATGATTCGTACACCTTTACGAATTGAAACGATTGAAATACAAATCTCATCCCATACTCGATTTTAAATTCATAAAGTGGTTTCACTTAGCAATTATATTCTAGCAACAATAATGAAAGTAGCTAAAATCTCTATATAAACTATTAGCTATTAATCCTGACTCGATTTTCACTCTAATCCAACTCATTGTATCCTCTGAAGATACTCTATAGCTAAATTGTGGTCGGTCCTGACTCCTGAACCATCGGGTATTATTCTTGTACTTACTTACAAGTACCATAGTTCTGATTCTTAAGTGAAGCGATCTAGATCTATCATGATGAGATATGATTATATGGGTAAAATTTAAATACTAACCATATTGCCTTAAAACCTCTTGTCTGCTATTTCCAGGTTTAATGAGCGATCAACCGTATTAAGGAAGTGAAGTACTATGGTTTAGTTTTTGGTTTTAAGTGCCCTGGAACTTACTTGTTAATTGTTTATATGGGGAATGTTAACATGTCAAACTTTATTGTTTCTGCTTGCTAACTTAGCTGTTTTATTATTAGCACACAATATTTTATCATTAGAAATAATGAACAAATATATCAGCGCCCGAATGTGTTTTGTTGGCCATTTCTGTTCTTCTTCTGCAAATTTAAACATAAGCTGTTAATTGTGTTGGAGCGTCTGCTTTATTTTGTATGTACTTTTGTTATCTTCCCATTGATTAATGACCAGTGGATTTTCAGTCGAAATTATTTTATGTCTTGCTGTCTTCGTGTTTAGCCTTTGTACTGTAATACGATCATCAAAATTTTGAAATCATATACTAGTAGAACTTATATTTCCTTGTCTGGGAAAGTCTTGTAGTCAGTTAGCAATGGTCAGAGAGGAGGAAATATACCATGTCTTTACGTAAGTGGAAAGTGTAGGTTCACATACTAGGCGTAAACCAAATATATTTAAGGACAGCAAGTTTTACGTTGCTACATATATAAACGAATGAAATAAACATCTTTTAAGAATTTAGTCGCTGATGTACATAGGTACTGTGATAGAGTACTCAAACTACTTAGTTTTATTTGGTAAAAAATAACAAAATGTAGTCTTCTGATCACCTTTAACAACAGTGCAATCATGTTTTGGCTCCGTTTCTCACTCCCTGAATTGTAAGTTCTCCTTTAGGAACGGCCTGCATCATTACATAAACTAGTGATAAGGAGTGAATTAGTCGAACGAATTTCCCGCTTCACATCCTGAAAATCTCTTCACTTCTGTTGCTCTAGTTTCTGTTGAAATTTCTTCAGTTTCAGAAATATCAGTTGGATTTTGTCAACTTTTGGTGCTACATATGATATAGATAAACCGTTCATGTTCCATTTAAAGTGCGAGTATATTAGACAGCAACCTACTCTGTTTAAATTATATTTGAACGTAGATAATATTCATAGCTTGCCAGTACCTGATGATGCGTGCCTTCGAAGCATTCTTTATATATGGTGGAATAATCGCTTCAACAATATCGAGGTTTGACATATCCAGGTGTAAGTCGGAAGTTGCCTAATAAAGATACTAATCTTTTTTAAATGAAGTGCTTGAGGCCTATGCTTAGTCATCGCGTACCCTGATGGTGTTAAGTGAAGTCAAAAGAGGTTGTAAAAAGCTTAAGGATATCCAATGCAAAACGTGGCATCAGTCCACGGTCACTCATAGTTCATCACACAAATCTCATTTGATTTGTGTGGCGCATATGTAGCTGGTGCCACTTTGTGCCAATAATTATGTGTTCAAATAAATAAATAATGTAGACATTTCATCTTAGCCACGTTCGTTGGTGTACATTACCTAGTTAGGGTCCATTTCGTAAACATGATCAGTGGGTAAAAACGTTAGGCGACGACTCTAGATTATTTGGAGTGGCGCACATTCATTTGCAATTTATATTCCCCTTGGTTTTAAGTTTCAATATTCCGATACATTTTATTTCCCGATTTCTCTTGTTTTTGAACCATACTTTTGCGTTTGCTTCCTTTTCACCATCAACAGAAGTACTATTTTTCGATGCTTGTTGTCAGTTGTACCTCTGTACCAATTGTCGTATGTGATTGTAATTGGATACATATTTGTGCTAGGTCTTACACTAATTATGACTGATACCGTAAAATTGATTACCTAAATTATCATAGAAAATCGCCACTATGACAGTCTACAATAACTGATGTTAAACTAACCAATGATGTTTCAGCTTTATACTAATTATTTTCACAAACCATTTAGTTTATCAGAAGGGGGTTTTGTGGAGATGTTAGTAATTTTATATAGTTGAAATCATGAGTCTATCGAAGCTAGACTACCGTGGAAAACCTGGAGTTCAATCAGATCTGTTGGGAGATATCAACTCACTGAAGACATTAGTGAATGGTTGCTCAATTTCGTGAATTGGTTGAAGTTAGACATTAATACCGTGGGATGCTGGCTCAGTGGTCTAGTGGTTAAGCGCTCCCGCGCGAGACTGATAGGTCCTGGATCCGAGACCTGCGTGTGTGATCGTGGATGCGCACTGTTGAGGCGTTTAGTTTATATCAAACGTGTCATAACAACTTATTCTGTATGTAATAAACTAGCAAATGTTTGGTGGTTAGAAGTAGTTGACGGGAAACAAGATTGGGGATCGTACGGGGAACATAAATTCTCTCAAGATTTAAGGTATGCCTTACTGACATGTGCCTATTATCATAAAATTTAAGCTCACGCTTTTTTGTTCTGGAACAACTAGTCAGACACTTCGTTTGTTATATATATATATATATATATATATATATATATATATATATATATATATGTTTTGTAGCAGCCTACCCTAAATAAATTAATTGAACTGCGGTAGGCAGTATAAAATGTTAACCTACATTCGTTCTCTAAAGATATTTAGACTGCTTACTCGGAAAATTTTAAGGTCATCGTTATTTATTTATTTAAATACATAAATATTGGTACAAGGGAGCCCCAGATACATATGCGCCGCACAAATCTCATTTGATTTGTGTGATTTTATTTTTTTATTTAAACACATAAATATTGGTACAAGGAAGCACCAGATAAATATGCGCCTCACAAATCACATTCGATTTGTGTGAGGGCTGTGATACTGTCCAGGTGCCCAGACTGAAGCAGGTGGTTTTCTTAGGGGGCCACACCCTGAGCCTTTGACCTGAATGTCTGATCCACAAGGCAGTGGAGCATCGTGAGGAGATGCAGTCCCATGGTAGCCGGTGATCAACGGTTGATTCGTACGCCATTTGTTCCCTCAGGATACTGGAGCCCATGTGCACCACTGGTTTGGAATCAGGGTTTTCCAACTTCCCTGGATGAACTTTCCATGTCCACCAACCCGGTTAAAGCGCCGGACATTCGCTTTTCGTTCTCTCACTTTTGTAAACAACACCCCCGCCACGATAAGGCAGTGAGTAGGATTAGTGTGGCAGAGGCTATATAAGTGTGGCCATATGAGAGCATTTCGAGAGGGAAAGGTGACTCTCCCCACTCTCGGCCGTATCAGGGCATTTGGGGGCTGTGATGATACTGCGCACGTGCCCAGACCGAATCAGGTGGTTTTCTTAGGGGGCCACACCCGAAGCCTCTGACCTAGAGGTCTGATCCACAAGGCAGTGGAGTATCGTGAGGAGATGCAGTCCCGTGGTAGCCGGTGACCAATAATAGGTTCATACGCCATTTGTTCCTCAGGATACTGGAGTCAGCTCATGTGCACCATTGGTTTGAAATGTGGATTTTCCAACTCCCCTGGGTGGACTTTCCGTGTCCACCAACCTGGTTAAGGCACCGGACATTCGCTTTTTTTCCTCTCAATTTCAAAAACAACAGTAATGCTACGAGAAGGCAGTAAGTAGGACTTCCCTGGCAGTGGTTGTATGCACGTAGCTATTTGAGAGCATTTCAAGAGGGAAAGCGGACTCTCCCCACTCTCGGCCATTATTCGTTCATATCTCTAAACTGTAATGTAACTCAGACAATTTATAAATTTAATACATTTCATAGTATAAACGAAATATTGAGTTTATTTAGTTTGTTCTCCACACTTTCTCAATAATTTGTTTGTACATAACTTGTAGCATGTCAATAGTCTTCTGATAGTAACAAAGAACATAATACTTTTTCTTGGCATTTAGGTTATTTCGAATAACTGATAACATTACCCGTTTTCATAATGATGTATTCATACATAAACCCATATATATGTTTATTTATACAATAATCTTATATGAAGGTAAAAATGGATGATGGATGATCATCAACAGTTAAAAAGTAAATATGAACGATTATGTGTGGAATTCAAAAAGGTTTGTTTGTTTTTTCACATTGTTTACACTAAATTGTCTACTTTATAGCTTCGTACAAAGTATAAAACATTGAAAGACAATGAAAATGAGTTAAACCAACAATTACATGTAGGTATTTGCATGTCATTTTTTCCCCTTCAATGCTATTATTTATGTAATATTTTGTATCTTTGAAGTTATTAAGATGTTCCAATTAAGAGTTCAGATAATGGACTGGTCTGGACAGCTGTTTCATCCCTATATAAAACATCTTGACAATCCCCACTCATGATCCTATCAATGATCAGACCTAGGACGTCCATGTCCCGCGACGAGCGCTTAGTATTTAGGACACATCCGGGATTCACTGGTTCGCGTGTCTAGTCTTAATAAGTTCCTAATTTTGGACAACCTCCCAATCCCACTGGTGGGCAACTGCTTCAAACTTGAACTTCGCTGTTCATAAAATCTTATAAAAACTCCTGAAGTTACTTCTTAGAATGTCTTACGATCAAGCATCTGTCACTGGACATGAAGGTCCTGGGTTCGAGCTCTGGTGAGGTCGCAGGTGCAGCCTGTCAAGGAGTCCCATAATAGGATAAAACAGCTGTCCAGCATCCCTTAGTTTTAAATGGCTATCTTTGTTATTTGTTTAAACGCAAACATTGGTACAAGGAGGCACCAATTACATATGCGCCACACGATAATAATGAGGCCAGTAGCAGTTATCATTGATTTGTTTGAGGGCTGTGATACCGGCCGGGTGCCCAAACCAAAGCAGGTGGTTTTCTTAGGGGGCCACATCTAGAGCTTTCCACCTGAAGGTCTAATCCACAAGGCAATGGAGCGACGTTAGGAGATACAATTCCTCGGTAGTCGGTGATCAACAACACGTTCGTACGCCATTTGTTTCCTTAGGATCCTGGAACGTATATGTACCATTGGTTTTGAATCAAGATTTTTCGACTCCCTTAGGTGGATCCTCCATATCCACCAACCCGGTTAAAGTGCCGGAAATACTCTTTTCGTCACATTTTGACCTTGTTAGTTATTCACTCGTCAATCTTGACTGTTTTTATGTAAGCGTATGTGTGTGTTCTTTTTGTCCCATTCACCACATGTCTGTAGCTTATTTTTGTGTGACTATAAATGTCGACTAATGCTTGACTAAACTGAGTTGACTCATACGCCTTCTCCACTGTGCGCCATCTCGCTTCGCTTCTTCCCTCTGATTGTCTGTCTAGATCAATGAGTGTATGAAATATACGCATTCGAAATTCATTTTCGTATTTCGCTTATTTAATTCCGCGATTGAAGTAGATGAAAATATACGAGAATAGTCAGGATGTATATTTCGACAACGATCATTTATCAGAAGGGGGTTTTGTGGAGGTTTTAGTAATTTTATAATTGAAGTCGTGAATCGATTGATGTTAGACCACCATGGAAAACGTGGAAGCACTGGAAGGCCATTTCGTCCGATTGTGAGACTCCTCAGCAGTACGCATCCACAATCCTGTCTCACGAGATTTGAATCCAGGACCTCTCAGTCTTGCGCGCGAGCGCTTAACCTCTAGTCCACAATCTAACTGGAGTCATATCCCAGACCACTAAAATACCTAATATTCGAAGCACTACAACCTTGCGGTCTGACTTTGAAATCGCATATGAGTTATCTACCTTCTACAGAGACACTATATATCTCTAGACCTCCCTAGCCTATCACGAAATGATTTAATCATAAATCTTCGGTTACACTAGGATACAATCTATAACCGAGGCTCTTCCGCTAACAAATCTTCGTCGGATATATCTCGAGAATGTTATTCTCCATTATATTTGTATATTATATATTTCACATTAATTCACTACTCATTCTTTACTTTCTCCATATAGGAAGAAATCTTACAAAAAAATTTACATATTGAAAAATTAAAACAAGAAATTGAACAATTAAAACAATCATTAAATAATCCTATTGTTCCTATTAATGGAATTACTTATGAAAATTCAACTAAATTATCATTACTATTAAATGATAATTCAAGTCAATTGTCTTGCCCTACCGATACTGTCGCAAAGAAATCTATCACTACTCAGGTTAGTATTATGTAGGGTGTTTTTCCCCCATATATTTGGTTTAAATATGTGAAACTAACTCATTATTCATATAAAGAGATTGTTGGATGGACACGGAAAGTCCACCTAGGGGAGTTGGAAATCCTTCATTCCAAACCAATGGTGCACATAGGCTGGCTCCAGTATCCTGAGGGAACAAATGCAGTATAAATCAATCGTTGGTCACCGGCTACCATGGGGCTGCATCTCCTCACGCTGCTCTACTGTCTTGTGGATCAGGCCCTCTAGGTTAAAGGCTTGGGGTGTGTCCCTCTAAGAAAACCACCTGTGCAGTATCACAACTCTCACACTAATCAAATGAGATTTGTGTGGCGCATATATATCTGGTGCCCGTTTGTACCAATATTTATGTGTTGAAAAAAATACTGTTGGACGGCAAGAATGTATCTTAATAGTGAGGTTTTAATTCATTGAAAAACAAGTGACTTACAGAACTGTTGTTCTCCAGTCATGCTCTGGTACGGTTGAGAGTAGGGATAGTCCGCTCTCCCTCTTGAAATGCTCTCACATGACCACGTGCATACAACCACTGTCAGGGAAGTCCTACTCACTACCTTCTCGTGACATTACTGTTGTTTACGAAATTGAGAGGAAGAAAAAAGAATGTCCAGCGCTTTAACCGGGTTGGTGGACACGTAAAGTTCACCTAGGGGAGTTGGAAAATCCACATTCCAAACCAATGGTGCACAATGGGCTCCAATATCCTAAGGGAACAAATGGCGTATGAATTAATCGTTGGTCACCGGCTACGATAGGACTGCATCTCCTTAAAATGCTCCACTGCCTTGTGGATCAGACTACTACGTCGAAGGTTCCTGATATGACCTAAGAAAACCACCTGCTTCAGTTTTGGCACCCGGGCAGTATCACAGCCCTCACACAAATCTCATTTGGCTCATATGTATATGGTGTTCCTTTGTACCAATATTTATGTGTTTAAGTAAATAATTTTTCTATCTATAATTTGTGTGTAAGCATGTTATTTTGTTAGATAAGATAATAGTATTCTTTTGGTTACTGATCCTTTCTTAGATATTAGTCCATTAAGAGAGTTGCATCAATAGTTTGATCCCGTGAGTATTGATCATTCAGCCAAATCATATTATCCTATTCCATTTATCCTTCGGCATTCTGTTGATTTGTTATAGGGTAACATCGTTCATTGATTAAATTTATAAATGTAAACCATTAGATCTCACTGAACTCAATGGTTTGAAGGTTAAATGCTCTCCATAGGCCCTAAAGATCTTGAGTTCTATCCCTTATGGGTCGTGGATGCAGACTGTTGGACGAAACAGCCATCTAGTATTTCCCGTTTTTCAATATTTACCTAACTCATGCCAATCAATGATCTGAAACGTGAACCATTTATATTGCTAAAATTCTTAAATTACTTTCATGTGTCAACTAATTTTGATGTGGGTTTGTTCTCTGAGCTGGATGGATGGTTTGGTCGTGGAGCTTTCATCGTCCTTCTGAACGACATCATCAACACAAACTTTGGGTAGAAGTGAAGTGTTTGAGTTTTTCCTCATGTGATTCACAGCTCGTCAACTAATCAATTCTCATCATTGAACGTTCCTTCAAATCGATAACTTAATCAAATGTGACTTCTTACTATTTTTAAGTATCCTTTCTAAGTGTTTGTGTAGGTTGATGATTATTGACAGTTATGTGATTAATAACAGAAGAGGGTTTTGTGGATATTATTAGCAATTTTAATAGTTGAGATCATGAGTCAATTGAAGTTAACTCGCGAAACTGATAGGTTCTGGGTTCGAATCTCACGAGGTGGGATCGTGGATGCACCCTGCCACAGAGGAGTCCCATATTTGATCGAAGCGGCCGTCCAGTGCTTCCAGGTTTTCCATGGTAATCAAGCTTCAATTGATTCATGATCTAAACTAGATTCCAAGAAAAATTTGTAAGCTGGAAACTTCTCGTACATTTTCTTGATTAATTATCACAATTGCATGAAAGTCAGAAGGACTTTTACCAATCTTATTCAGATTTGGTACCGTCATGATGTCAATCTGGTTGTAAAAAGTCGGATTCATAATATGTTGGTGAGAAATGTTCTGCTCTATATATTCAAGCTGAGTATATTCAACAGCTCTGTATGGTCGATCATCGTTGTCTTTGAAAAATTGATGACATCATGATGAAAAAATAATTGACATTTTGGTACTAAAACTAAGTACTCAGTATACTGTTTTACCATTTCTAGTTAAGAGATATACTATACTACCTTAAATGTAGACTATTTTTACTACCAGTTTGCTATTAGTTGATAACTGTTCCACTCCAGCCATTTCTCAACGTCGACAGTTGCGACTTCTCATTAGAACATCAGAAGTATCTTGAAGTAAGTCACTAATTAGTTGTCTGTTATAGTTGAAGTGAAGGAGTTTTTTTTGATTTTTTTAAACAGTTTTATCATATGTGCATTTAGCTGCTCAAAATAATGATAGTAAACGATGATAATAGCCAAACACCAAACTTTCTGATACAGTTGATCATCATTTGTGGGAATAATTATCGCAACTGCTATTTAAACACTTTCAGAAATATGTGTTCAGGACTCCGTCGACGCTCGGCTTCGAGATTAACAGGCTGGATTCCGTAAGGATCGATCGTGTACTGACCATATCGCAACACTACGAATCATTGTAGAACAATCAATTGAATAGAATTCATTACTCAACATCAAATTCACTGACTACGAGAAAGCATTTGCTAGTGTGGATAGGAGAACACTATGGAGGCTTCTTCGACACTACGGCGTGCCTGAGAAGATAGTCAACATCATACGGAATTCTTATGATGGATTAAACTGCAAAATCGTGCATGGAGGATAGCTCACAGACTTGTTCGAAATAAAGACCAGTGTCAGGTAAGGTTGCTCACTCACCGTTTCTCTTTCTTCTGGTGATCGAGTGGATTATGAAGACGTCAACATCTGGAGGAAGGCACGGGATACAGTGGACAAGTAAAATGCAGTTGGACAATCTAGACTTCGCAGATGATCTGACTCTTTTATCATACACGCAACAACAAATGCAGGGTAAAACGACCAGTGTAACAACAGCCTCAGCAGCAGTAGGTCTCAATATAAACAAAGGGTAAAGCAAGATTCTCCGATACAACACAACATGCACCAATCAAATCACACTTGACGGATAGGCTTTAGAGGATGTGGAAACCGTTACATATCTGGGCAGCATAATTGATGAACACGGTGGGTCTGATGAAGATGTGAATGCGCGGATCGGCAAAGCGAAAACGACATATCTACAATTGAAGAACATCTGAAATTCAAAACAACTGTCAACCAACACCAAGATCGGAATTTTCAGTACAAATATCGAGACAGTTCTACTGTATGGGGTGGAAACCTGAAGAACAACGAAAGCCATTATCCAAAAGATACAAGTGTTTATTAACAGTTGTCTACGCAAAATACTTCGGATACGTTGGACAGACACAACCTACTGTGGGAGAGAACAAACTAGATTTCAGTGGAGGAAGAAATCAGGAAGAAGCGCTGGAAGTGGATAGGACACACTTTGAGGAAATCACCCAACTGTGTCACAAGACAAGCCCTCACTTGGAATACTGAAGGTCAAAGGAGGAGAGGTAGACCAAAGAACACATTACTCCGAGAAATGGAGACAGATATGAAAAGAACAAACAATAATTGGATGGAACTGGAAAGGAGGGCCTAGGACAGAGTGAGTAAGAGAATGCTGCTCTCCATTGAGAGTAACAGGCGTAAATAAGTAAGTAAGCAATATGTATTCATCATTATCTGATGGTGGAAAACATCGTTGATAAACAGGGAGGATCGGATGCAGATGTAAAGGCGAGGAATGGCAAAGCAAAGGCAGCGTTTCTACAATTTAAGAACATATGGAACTCAAAACAACTGTCAACTAATTTCAATGTGAGAATCTTCAATACGAACGTCAAGACAGTCCTACTGTATGGAGGTGAAACGTGGAGAACTAGTACGACCATCATCAGGAAGGTACAGGTATTTATAAACAGTTGTCTACGCAAAATACTCAACATCCATTGGCCGGATACTATCGGCAACAGCGTTTTATGGGAGAGGACAAACCAGCTTCCAGCTGAAAAGGAAATTAGGAAAAGACGTTTGAAGTGGATAGGACATACATTTCGGAAATCACCAATGTGCATTACAAGGCAATCCCTAACTTGAAATGGTGAAGGGAAGCGGAAAAGAGGAAGGTCAAAGAACACATTACGTTGGGGAATAGAAGCAGATATGAAAAGGATGAATGTTAACTGGAAAGAACTGGAAAGGAAAGCTCAGGACAGAATTGGATGGAGAATGCTGGCGAGCGGCCTATGCTCCTCGACGAGGGGTAACAGGCGTAAGCAAGTAAGTAAATAATAATCTGATGATATAGTGAATCACTGAATTTACAGACTTTCTTTAATAAACTCATAAGCTGATAGCTTCTTAATAATAGTTGTTAACCGACTGTTTGTATGGTAGACCTATTCTGAACGTTAAATGAAGCCATTTTTTAATCCTTATCTACCAATACTCATACATACCAACTTGTTAACCGACTGTTTGTATGGTAGACCTATTCTGAACGTTAAATGAAGCCATTTTTTTAATCATTATCTACCAATACTCATATATACCAACTTGTTAACCGACTGTTTGTATGGTAGACCTATTCTGAACGTTAAATGAAGCCATTTTTTTAATCATTATCTACCAATACTCATATATACCAACTTATTCTTTTAATTTAATAGGAAATAAATAATGATTTCAATCAAACTAAACTATCCGATACTACTTATAAACCTATTTACATTACAAAACACAATTCATTTTCTATTACAACTAATGATTATTCAACAAATTCAATATTATCATCTCCTTCCGACAATTGTCATCATGTTGCTGTAGATACTCATAATAACTCATCCAAATCTTTATTATCATCATTATCATCTTTAACATTACCATCATCTTCATCATCACTTCTATTGGAGGATACATTGATGACAACAAAATCGACAGTATCTGTTGCTTCGAGTTCTACTTCTACTACTAGTACTAGTACTACTCCTACTCCTACTACTAGTACTACTTCTACTACAAGTGCTACTCCTTCTTCTAGTACGACTTCTACTTCAAGTACTACTACTACTCCTCCAACTTCTACTAGTACGACTTCTACTACTAGTACTACCATGAATCTTCCATCTTCTTCGGATCAAGATTGGAGATCAGTTATAGACGTCGAAGAGGAATTAATTCAACAATTTATCCAATTATTAAATAATTGGATCAATTCAATTAAAACAAATCAAAATATATCAATCATAGATAAAGATAAATTAGATCATATCCTTATGAATCGTATTACTGAATTAGAAAGTCAATTATGTGAAATTACATTACGATATCAATTAGAACATAAACGTCGATTAAAAGTGTGTTTTTTTTGTGGAGATTTTTAATTTTTATATATATAGTTGAAATCACGAGTCAATTGAAGCTAGACCATCATGGAAAACCTGAAAGCACTGGAAAGTCGTTTCGTCCTATTGTGGGACTCCTCTGTGGCAGTGCACATCCACGATCCCGTCTCGCGAGATTTGAAACCATGACCTATCAGTCTCGCACGCGAGAACTTAGCCGAAGCATTAACCAGTGGAGTTCAACCAGGTTTTTTGGAAGATATTAACTCACTGAAGACATTGGTGAACGGTTGCTCAACTTCATGGATTAGTTCAAATTTGAATATGATTAATCATTTATTCTTGATATCAAAACTTGATTTCCCCCTTTTCCTATTTAGAGATTTTGTGCTTTTGAACCTTGTATAAGAGTGTTAATCAATTAGTCAATGGTGATTATGTGATCACTAGGGCTGTCAGTGGCTTGTCGTTAGGTGTTATTTCTTAGTTGTGCACATTGTGAAAAAATTACTTTCTGTTATAACTGTTATAACTTCTCCTTATTACGACTTATCTATTCCTATTGCTTAGTCTTCTCGGACACCTATTCACTCGACAAGTCCCCAAATCAGAACATAGTTGAACAGGAAAGAATCTATACCCCGAATAACAAGGATAAATGAAAGTAAGAAGCGCAATAAGGAATACGTTAGTATATTTATAGTTTTTACATGAATAGATTCTAGAGTCTTCTCCAAGCATCGACTAGCGCTGATTGGATAAGAATTAACCAATCAATGTGCAGCAACACAATCATGCATGAAACATGCTTTAATCCAGTCCATGTCCTACTAACACTTTCTATTGAGGAACCTGAAAAGGAGATTGAATCAAGTATGGCTTCAATTAACTTATAACGTGACAACAGAGCTTATAGTATAACTGCTTGAGATCAATCACAGGACGAAAAGCGAATGTCCTGCACTTTAACCGGGTTGGTGGACATGAAAAGTCCACGTAGGGCAGTTGGAAATCCTGATTCTAAACCAATGATGCACATGGGTTCCAGTATCCTGACGAAACAAATGGCATATGAATCAATTATTGGTCACCGGCTACCATGGGACTGCATCTCCTTACGATGCTCTACTGCCTTGTGGATCAGACCTTCAGGTCAAAGGCCGGGGATGTGGCCCCCTAAGAAAACCATCTGCTTCAGTTTGGGCACCCGGGCAGTATCACAGCCCTCACACAAATTAAATGAGATTCGTGTGGCGCATATGTATTCGTGGCCCCTTTGTACCAATATTTATGTGTTCAAATAAATAATAATCACACGCTTGTCTTTCTGTGAGAAGTTTATCATGTGTTTGATTCATTCTCTTTCGAATTTATTCACCAGTAACAGAAATCCATGAAGTAATATATCGCCTGGTTCTTTTAGGACCAATCTTGTTTAGCTTTTGTCTCCTTTTCGGTATGCTAGCATCGCTACAAATACTGATTATCTGAGTATACCAACCACCCTATTTCCGTTACTTACCAGTATAGTCGACAGTAGGACTTGACCCCTCGAACTTTACATTTGCTGCTCACAGTCTTATTACTCTTCAACAGACTTGTCCGGTATGGTAGGACCCTAAATAACTATTGTTCCATCTAATAGTTCCCGATCGGCTTACTGTTACTACATTCAAACATCACGACCAGTTGTAATACAATAATTGTGTACATCTGTTGTCCTTCGATTTCCGAGTTTTTTTGTAATAACTATACTTTACAACAATCCTCAGTCAGTCAGTTAGTCACAACGTAGAACTTTGTACGTACGTACATCAGTTCGAGTTGCCATACCACATTAGCACAGAAATGAAGTTGTCGATTCAAATTCCATAGTGATAGAAGTAGTAAGAGTATAAGCAGTAAGCTGAAAGATTAGGGTTTGAAGATGTCATTCAAGGAGTATGATACAATAAAATAAATTTGGAAGGAGAAAAAGATAGAGACATGAAGTATTCAGAAGATTAGAATTTGAAAGAGTACAAAGAGTGGATGCACCGTCGCCATTTCAAAAGATTTTGAGCTATGTCATTCAAGGTCTCTAACTATCGACTGCTCTCATCTCGCGAATCCCATCCAGCTAGTCTACACTCACCAACATGGCTCAGTCAACTTGTCAGTGACTTCATGGATTTGTGCCACGTTTTGGTCTGTCCGCCTCTGGTTTTCTTCCAACCTACTCCTACACCATAAATCATCGCACGTCGGGGCAGTCGGTGGTTTGGCATACGTAACACATGTCCCAGTTATCTCAACAGATGGAATTTCTTTACTTCATCAATCGATTTGCAATCCTTACCTAGTACCCGTTTTCTAACAACTGCATTACTTACCTTTGATCCCAGGGTATACGAAGACACCTATGATCGAATACAACAATCCTACCTTAAATAAGTAATAATTTTGTGTGTAATGTACATTTGTTCAGTTTTCTTATTTCTTATTCTTCTTCTTATTCAAACAGTCAGAAACAAAAGACGACTCCAAACTTATGGCTCATAGTAGTCAAGCAAGCAATTCAAATGATCTTGATCCATTATCTAATAGTAGTAATGAAAAATCTGATGAAAATTCTAATGCACATAAAGTAATAATGAAACGTTTACATACAGCTATTGAAGAATCAATTTATTATGCTTCAAGAGCTAATTTCTTACAAGATGAAGTAAGTTGATCTTCTTGTTTTACATGATTTTTATTTTATGAAATGATTATTAAGGCATGCCCCCAAATGCTCTGGTATGGCCGAGAGTGTGAAGAGTTCGTTCTCCCTCTCGAAATACTCTCACATAGCCACGTGTATATAGCCATTGTCAGGGAAGTCCTACTCACTGCCTTCTTGTGGCATTACTGTTGTTTACGAAACTGAGAGGACGAAAAGCGAATGTCCGGTGCTTTAACCGGGTTGGTGGATATAGAGAATCCACCTAGGGGAGTCGGGAATTCCAGATTCGAAACCAATGGTACATATAGGTTCCAGGATCCTAAGGGAACAAGTGTAGCATGAACGTATTGTCGGTCACCGGTTATTATGAGACTGCATCTCCTGACGTCGCTTCACTGCCTTGTGGATTAGACCTTCAGGTCGAAGTCACCTGATGTGGCCCCTTAAGAAAACCACCTGCTTTAGTCTGGGCACCCGTTCAATATCATAGTTCTTACACAGATCAAAAGACTTTTGTGTGTCACATATGTATTCGGTGCCCCTTTGTACCAATATTTATGTGTCCAAATAAATAAACAAATAATTGTCCAGGTTGGATAATTATATTAATTTCTTTATGAGAAATTTCTGTCATCAGAAAGCTATGTCTGTGAGTGTAATGAACTATTCATTAGAAATCAGCTAGACTCTCCGTGTCCACCAACCCGGTTAAAGCACCGGACATTTGAGATGGTGGAGAAGGTTTGTAGCTCAGGTGGGTGATTTTTATGTTGGTTTGTTCTCTGAGCTGGATGGTTTGGTCGTGGAGCTTTCATCGTCCTTCTGAACGACATCATCAGCACAAACTTCGGGTAGAAGTGAAGTGTTTGAATTTCTCCACATGTGATTCACAGCTTGTCCTCTGCACCTCGATGTTGATTGGTTCTTATTGACCTTAAATCTGTCATTGTTTATTTCTTTGTTTTGATTGTCTCTCCTATTGTTTTGATTTTTGTTCCTATGTTCCTGCATAATTTTCTTGATTGGTTGATAGATTGGATTGATTTCAATATGTTTGTTTATTGCAGATTGACCTGAGTGCCAAGCTTCTAAAAATTCTCTGGTATTTTTGGAATTGCCTCTGTCCAAAATCTGCACATTTTCCCAGTCGAATGTATGTCCGTAGTTGTCCACGTGTATTGATATGAGTGAAGAAATGTCGTGGCGTTTGACTGCTAATTGGTGTTCATGTAGGCGAAGATGCAGGGGGCGTCCGCTTTGTCCAATATAGTGTTTGTTGCAGTCGGTACAATTTATCTTGTAGATGATGTTTGTTTTGTCTTCTTTTGCCATTTCATCTTTTGGTTTGCATAAGATTGAGTGGAGGGACTTTGTTGGTTTGTGGGCTGCACCTATTCCGAAGGTTTTCAGCAGCCTTGTTGTCGTTTCCGATATGCCCTTTATGTATGGTAGGGTGATCCTTTTGTTGATTTTTATACTTGACTTCATTTTTGATGGTGTGTGCGACTGGTATTTTTTGATGAAATTGATTGGATAGCCGTTCTTTTGAAGAATGGTTTTCAGGTGTTTTTCTTCATTTTTTCGTGCTGTGATTGTATTGCAGTGTGTTCTCGCCCTCTTGAACAAAGTTTGTACACAGTTGATTTTGTGAGTTCTTGGGTTGTTGCTATTGTAGTTGAGAATTTGATCGGTGTGGGTCGGCTTCCTGTACACTTGAATCTCTAGTTTTCCTGTGTCCGTTCTGGTGATTAATACATCTAAGAATGGCAACTTGTTGTCCGACTCTTGTTCCATTGTGAACTTGATGTCTTTGAAGACGTTGTTGATCTGCTCGTAGGTGTTTTCTAGTTCCTCCTTTTTGACGATGACGAATGTGTCGTCTACATAACGAATCCAAATTTTTGGTTTGATCACTGGTAGAATTGTGGTTTCTAGTCGTTGCATTACTGCTTCCGCGATGAGTCCTGATATTGGTGATCCCATTGGTGTCCCTTTTGTTTGTTTGTAGATTTTGTTATTGAATTGGAAATATGTTGTTAGACATAGATCTATGAGTTCAAGTAGGCTTTGACTTTGAAGTTTCGTGCACCGGACATTTGCTTTTCGTCCTCTCAGTTTCGTAAACAACAGTAATGCCACAAGAAGGCAGTGAGTAGGACTTCCCTGGCAAAGGCTATACACGCGCGGCCATGTGAGAGCAATTCGAGAGGGAGTGAGGACTCTCCCCACTATCGGCCGTACCAGGGCATTTGGGGGCAGGTTGTGTGTTAGGTTCAAAGAGAATTGGTTGCTATATGCATGCAAATCCGCCACGTTATTGTTCCTTTCCTATTATTGTTATATTGTTTTGGATTCGAGTCTCAAGAAGAAAATCAACACTGGGGTCTAAGTATATATTTATCTGACAAGTCCTAAATTAGACGAGAACTTAGTTCTAAAACTCACTGCTAGTCACAATGAACCTTTACTAGAAATCTCTCTGTCTTGTTTGTTTCCCCATATTTTCCCTCTTCAATAAGCGTATACTCAAAGCTTATGTATTACAAACGTTACTTCAACAACTTCGTTGGTTGTATAGCTAGTCTATATTGTGCAGTGAATGACTAGTTTGTCATATTTCACTCAGTCAAGATCAAGGAACATCATATCATTAGCAAAGATGAAGATGAAATTGACGAAATGTAAAACATAATTGGTAGGAATAGTAAACATACTCATTAAAACAGAGAATTCTTCATTGAAGGATGATGAATAGTATGGAATATGAAATCAAGTTAGAGACTTACTAGACGATGATAAATCGTAAGAAAAAACATGAATCTAGCAGTACTTATTTACTTACGCTTGTTACCCCAAATGGAGCATAGGGCATCGACCAGCATTCTCCAACCCACTCTGTTCTGGACCTTCGCTTCTAAGTCTATCCAAGTGTTGTTCATTCTTCTTATGTCTGTCTCTATTTCTCGGCGTAATGTGTTCTTTGGTCTTCCTCTTTTCCTTTGGCCTTGAGGATTTTAAGTGAGGGCTTGCCTTGTGATGCAGTTGGGTGCTTTCATCAATGTATGTCCTATCCACTTTCAGCTATTCTTCCTGATTTCTTCCTTCACTTGGAATCTGGTTTATTCTCTCCCACAGTAGAATGTTGCTGATAGTGTTTGGCCAACGGATCCGAAGTATCTTACTTAGGAATCCAGCAATGTGATCAATAAATTATTGTTAATCAGTGATAAATTGTAGATTTATCTATCTGACTGCTTAAAGCCAAAATTAATAGTTTTCAATAGGATTCAGACTTATAGCTTGATAGATGAAATTCAAACAGTTTTTTTCCTATACATAATCATCGTTAACCTCATGCCCAACCCTCCTCTTTTATCCGGGTTTGGGACTGGTAGTAGCCCCCGGAGGAGCTACAGGCGTAGTTATATGAATTAATATAACACTGAATTTGTTGATAAGGAAACAATCATTGATTGTTTATTATAGACAAAGTTTTTATGCCAAAATTATGTTAATTAATTATATTTATATGTTTATAGATTGTGTCTACAATACTACTTATATTCATTATTGATAATAATATAAGGCAGACCTTCAGTTTTAGTTTCATGATCAATAATAATGACCATAAAAAGTAACCGATTACAATAGTGAATATTGTCCATGTGTACACTAACACACCTTATAAAGGTCTAGTCTTGTTAAGTTATCATGCTAACGATCATGAATTGATTGATGTTAGGTCACTATTGTTAACCTGAAAGCATTGAGTGGCTGTTTCATCGTAGTATTCAACTCCTCAGCAGTGCACATCCACGATTTTACACATGGGTCTCGAACCCAGTACCTATTGTTCTCGCGCGTGAATGCTTAACCTTTAGACTACTAAGTCGGCATCTAACGGTATTCATGTCTAACTTCAACCAATTCACAAAATTGCGTGACTATCTTTCATTATCTAAGGTAGATATCTATTTCTCTCTAGATGATACAGATTAGCTCCACCTTATAAAGGTCTAGTCTTGTTAAATTATCATGCTAGCGACCAGTTTCCTTAATGACAATTTACTGAAGGAGTACTTAATAAGTTTTTTATTATATGTCCACGATATACAATCAATTAGTAAGCTATATAAATTATATATATATATGAAAGTTTGTGTCGATTCAAGCTGTTACATGTTGATTACATATCTCTGTGCACATCTATCTATTAAATCAGAATAAACTACTAGAATGTTTGTAATAATATTAAGATGAACACCAACGCCACTTCACTTAGTTATTCACAACGTAGAACTTCGTACGTACGTATATCAGTTCAAGTTGCTATGTCACATTAGTACAAAGATACAATTGTCGATTCCAAACCCATAGTGGTAGAAGTAGTAAGAGTATAAGCATTATGTGAAAGATTAAGGTTTGAGGATGTTATTCAAGAAGTATAATCCAGTGAAGTAAATTTGGAAAAAGAAAAAAGAAAGGGACATGAAGAATTCTGAAGATTGGAATTTGGAAGAACACAAAGTGTGGATGCACCTTCGCCATTGTAAACGATTTTGAGCCATGTCATTCAAGGTCTCTAACCATTGATTGCTATCATCTCGCGAATCCCAATCAGGTAGTCTACACCTACCAACATGGCTCAGTCCGATTGTCAGTGGATTTATGGATTTTTGCCACGTTTTGGTCTGTCCGCCCCTAGTTTTCTTCCAACCTACTCCTACACCTGCACGTCGGTCAGTCGGTGGTTGGGCATACGTAACATATGTCCCAGCCACCTCAACAGATGGAGTTTCTTTACTTCATCAACCGATTTGATATCCTTACGTAGTAGCTGTTTTCTAACAACTATTACTGACTCGGTGATCCCAGGATATACAAGCAATGCTTCGAAGACACCTGTGATCGAATACTAGTAGCCTACGAATATCCTCTACTTTTACCGGCCATGTTTCACTGCCATGAAGTAGGACGAAATGAACTGCTGTGCATTGAACCCGTCCTTTAGTTGCTAGACGGATATCTCGCCTACGCCATAAATGATGCAATTTGGTGAAAGCTAGATAAGTCTTCTGTATCCGTGCTGAGATTCCGACACACACTAGAACACAAAGGCTGATGAGACTCCTAAAATAAGTGAAGCGGTCAACACACTCAACCACTTCACCCGCTATCATTTATTCAGGTGCCGGTGCAACCCAATCGTGAAGTGACATTTCGCATTTCGAGGGAGAGAATCACAAAACGAACATGCTTGCATTGTTGCTTATAGTGTTCAAAAGACTGCATTTTGTCAACATCTTCAACAAATAAAAGTATGTCGTCACTAACCGCTTATTGAATGTTTAAAATGAATATAAACAGTTTTTAACCGATGTTGACTAAGGTATACTTCATTAGCTATACTACCAATGCTCAAGACTAATTTTACACTTTTCTATTCTAGTTATAATGAACAAATTCCAAAGTAAAATCCTCAGTATGGGGTATCGAAGATTGCTAAATTTTTGATTAACATCATAAATTGATTGATGTTAAGTCACTAGTGAAAACCTGAAAGCACTTGATTGCCGTTTCACTCTAGTATAAGACTGATGAGCAGTGTGTATCCACGATCAAACACGCAGGTCTCAAACCCAGGACTCATCGGTCTTGCTCGTGAATGCTTAACTTTCAGACTACTTAGTTGGCATCTAACGGTATTAATGTCTAACTTCAACCAATCCACAAAATTGCTCGACTATCTTCCATTATCTAAGGTAGATACCTGTCTCTCTCTCTATCTAGCTGATACAGATTAACTCCACTAATCCTCATTTAACAAATACATTTAGTTCATCCATATATATCGCTATTCCTCTATGTATCTTTTTTTTCCTTCTGAATTCTTAAGCTCGAATCCCTTATCCCATGGATTATACAATTATTATATTTCTATCAAAAACAACAATCTAAATATCATATAATAAAACAATCTAATGAACAATTAAAACAACAATTAGAATTAATAAAAACCAATACAATTAAACAAATTAATGAAATGGCTAAACATATAAATCATTTAACTAATGAATTACAAACACTTCAATTAAATTCACTATCAAAACATCATAATCATTTAATGAATGAACAATCACAATGGAATGGTTTAACAAATGATAATCAGGTTAAAAAAGTAAGTGATGATACTGTTGATGTTGTCGTTGTCGTCGTCGTCGTCATCATTGTTGGTTTTGTGATAAATCTTGTTAATTTGAATAATTTTTTCTGGTTAACATTTTCTTAGCGAGTTAGTTTTCTATGGGATCGGATCTCTAATCCCATGCCCAACTCTCCTCCCTTTATTCGGGGCTTGGAATCGGTAGTAGCCCTTGGAGGAGCTACAGGCGGAGTATTGAGGGTAACAAGTGTAAATAAGTAAGTAAACTTGTTAACTTGAACGCTATACTCAGTTGCTAAGGTATTCTTGTAACCTGGCTACGAAACGTGATCATTAAGAGTAGAAGATACTTGTAAGTTACTAGTATTTGACCATAGATGTTTTAGAAATATTGCTCACATCTTATGGGATCATTGGGTAAATAATAATAAGGTTATACACACAGTGTATTATGGAATGATGGTAAATCAGTTGATGAGCTTGTGAATCTTCATTGAATGAGATGGTTGGGCAACGTGTTACGTATGCCTGAACACCGATTACCATAACGTGCAATGCTGACTAGTATTGGGAGTGGTTGGAAGAGAGTTATGGTCAGCCAAACCAAAACATGGCACCAGTTCTCGAAGTAACTAACTTCTAGTCTGAGCCATGTTTGTGGATGCAGACTACTTGGTTTGGGTCTACGTGACTATCGTAACCAATGGTTGGAGACTGTGTGTGACGTGGCTCAGAATCGATCACAATGGCGCAGGTGTATACACTCTTTATTTTCCTTTAAACCTTGAGATTAAAATTGCTTCACATCTGTCTTTCTTCCTATACTATACCGTTGCATACAGTCTTTCTTTTACATATTACCACCACTAAATTAACTACTTCTATGAATTTCGGTGTTCATCTTGTTATGCTAATGAGTGAAGTATGACAACTTGGACCGATGCATATATGTGCCTAGTCCTACGTTGTAGCTGACTGACTGTCTATTCTCGTACTCCCCAAGCTACATCTATACAGCAGCTTGAGCACCAGAAAATAAGCATAAAGTATGTGAGAAGCCAATTTACTCTAAAGGTTCATTCATATACAGAAAATATATGATTTTTATAGTATTTTAGAAGTCTTTGGATTTTCCTGAGAATTCTAGAATTCTACTAAACATAGTAGCAGTATAATAATCAGGCAATGAGAAACTCTACATGTGACTTTTCACTTTTGTGATGTTTCTAGCAAGACTTCTAATCAAAAGCTAATTGGATAAAATGCATCTTAGTGTTTCCTGAGCCTCTCTTATCTTTTGTGAGAAGTTTTCTGGATCACCCCAACAGTTTGTTTCAATAATTTAATCATATAATTAATTCTATACAGGGAGAACTGTCGTTGTATGAATCAATTAATTAAAAGAAAGCTAGTCAAGTTGTGTGAAACCACCCATTCCTCCATCTCCATTTATATATATAGTCAAAGACAGAATTTTTTTAGTTCTCGTGGTGAACATATTACATTTAGGCGGCCACACCTGGAGCCTTTGACTTAAAGATCTGATCCACAAGGCATTGAAGCATCGTGATGAGATGCAGTCCCATGGTAGCTAGTGATCAACAATTGGTTCATACGCCATTGTTTTCCTCAGGATACTGGAGCCCATGTGCACCATTGGTTTGGAATCAGAGTTTTCCAACTTCTCTAGATGAAGACTTTCTATGTCCACTTATTCAATTAAAGCACCGAACATTCGCTTTTTGTCCTCTTAATTTTGTAAACAACAGTAATGTCACGAGAAGGCAGTGAGTAGGACTTCCCTGGCAGTAGTTGTATGCACGTGGCTATGTGAGAGTATTTTGAGAAGGAGATCGGACTCTCTCCACTTTCGACCGTATCAAGGTATTTTGGGGGCTAATGAAAGGTTATTGTATTAGTAGTATCATAGAATTCTATCTATCTGTAAAGTCGTTCTAAATTCCATATAAATGAATTTTTGATGCTTAAATAATCTAATGATTAATCTATTTTACTCTTTTCTTTTTTTTCTATTTATAGAATACATTATTTAATATATTGAAGAAATGATCTGTATATATATATCTTCTTCTTCTCCCCCTTCTCCTCCTCCTCGTTCTTCTTCTCCCTCTTCTTCTTCTCTTTCTTCTCCCTCTCCTTCTCCTCCTTGTTCTTCTTCTCCCCTCCTCCTCCTTTTTCTTCTTGTACCCTTCATTAATCTTAATGATCTATGTAATTCATCATAAACATAATCAGATTTAGTTATTTTGATTTGTTATTTATATCTTTTATTTTTATGGTTCATCTATAATAGTCAATCTGTGTGTGTTTGTTTGGATACTACAAAACTTCTCTTCTATTATTCATTATTCAATAATGATTATGTAATCATTTTCTTTTTGTATTGTTTTAATAAGTTGAAATAATCATTGTAAAAATAATTTTCTTTTTTTTAAAAAAAAAAAATTTTTCAGTTTTCTATGATTATGTTTTCTTCAATGATATTCATGTATGAGAAGGGATCATGAGTGAATTGAAGGTAGATCATTATGAAAAAACTTGAATGAATTGGATGGCCATTTCATCCTTTTTTTTTTGGGACTCCTCAAAGATGAGTATCCACGATTTTGTCTAGCGAGATTTGAACACAGGACCTCTCAGTCTCTCGTACTAGCCGTCCGGCATCCAACAGTGTTAATGTCTAACTTTTATAATTGAGTTTATATTTATTAAAAATGATTTGTTTTTTAGATGAAATTCTAAGGATTAGAACAGTGTATTGATGATATTTGACAGAGTTACAACTCATTGGTTTAGTTCATTGATTCAAAATATAGACAATACGGGTAAACATTAAAAAATATTTAAGATAATGTAAACAATCAATGATCATTTAAATAAGTATAGTCCTAAACATCAATGGTAAGATTCAAACAAGTAATACTAAGTGAATTTAAACTTCAACCCATTTCACAGTCAAATAACTATCAGGACTCAGTAGCTAAGTGGATAACGCGATGGCGTTTGAAGCTACCAGTACTAGGTTCGAGTCTCAGAGTGAACATCAACTCTGTGATGTAGGTACATCCAACTGACGAGTGTCAAATAGGACGAAACGTGCTTTGTCCTGGATTCCACTGCTAGACACTATCCATCTTTGCTTATAATGCTTGTGAATCAAGGCAATACGCACAGTATACACATATACCAATAAGAGACTGACCAGTTGTTGTCCATGGGAAGATTCAAATAAGCAATACTAAGTGAATATGATAGTCATTCCAGTTATGTTCCCTATAAATCATTTTGTATATATATGAGTAAAAAAATAAGTATTTTTCGTTACTTAGATACCGTATTCAAATTTAATGTTTGTGAATGTCATTTTGATTTATGGTTCATATAAAGTTTGTTACCTTCAAGTACTCAGAATTCTATACCCGTTACATTCACCCTTAAAAATGTTTAAGGTTAGATATAACCATTAGTTCTCTAGTATTTATATTGTTCTTGATAATAGTTACATCTAAAACAGGAATATTTTTACAAAAAATATGTGCTTAGATTAGTTCAGTAACATAAAAACTGAGCGACGAAATTTATAAGAAAAGATGGATAGTGGCTAGCAGTGGAATACAGAACACGCGTCTTGTCCTATTTGTGACTCGTCAGCTGGAATGTACCTGAATCTCAGAGTTGATGTTTACTCTGAGACTCAAACCCAGTATTGTTCGCTTCAAACGCCATCGCGTTATCTACTCAGCTATTGAGTCCTGATAGCCACCTGCTTGTGCAATAGGGTTAAAGTTATATTCACTTGGTGTTGTATACTTGTATCTTCCTACTGTTATTTAGGACTGCAATTGATCAGTCTCTTGTTGGATTCCACTACTAACCAATATCCACCTTTGCTTATAAAGCTTGTGACTTCAGGGAAATATCGAGGCAGTCCTTACAGGATGCACATATGCTAATAAGAGACCGATCAATTGTTGTCATAAATAACAATGGGAAGATACAAATATGCAACACCAAGTGAATAAGTAACGAAATATTTTAGCAATAGCCTATTGTGTAAGAAAACAAACCAACTTCTAGATGAGGAAGAAAATAGGTTGGAAGTGGATAAGGCACAGATTGAGTAAATCTTCAATCTGCATCATGAGTCAAACGATAACTTGAAATCCTGAAGAGAAACAAATGGAGGTCAAAAACACGCTACTCTGAAAGTTGGAAGCAGACATGAAAAGGGCACCAGTTTATTTATTTGAACACATAAATATTTGTACAAAGGGGAACCAGATATATATTCGCCACAAAAATCTCATTCGATTTGTGTGAGGGCTGTGATACCGCCCAGGTGCCCAAACCGAAATAGGTGGTTTTCCTAAGAGGGCTACTTTTGGAGCCTTTGACCTAAAGGTCTGATCCACAAGGCAGTGGGGCATCGTGAGGAGATGCAGTCCCATGGTAGCCGGTGACCAACCATTGATTTATACGCCATTTGTTCCCTTAGGATACTGGAACCCACGTGCTTCATTGGTTTGGAATGAGGGTTTTCCAACTCCCCTAGGTGGACCAGCCGTGTCCACCAACCCGGTTAAAGCACCGGACATTTGCTTTTTGTCCTCTCAACTTCGTAAACAACAGTAATTCCACGAGAAGTTAGTGATTAGGACTTGTGTGGCAGAGGGTATATACTCGTGGCTATGTGAGTATTTCGAGAAAAAAAAAGCGAACTCTCCCCACTCTCGGCCGTATCAGAGCATTTGGGGGCAAATGAACTCAAGTGGAAATGATTACCCAGAATAGAGATAACTGATGATCAACCTATCTTCATCCATAAAGGATAACAGGCCTAAACAATTAATACCACATTGGATAATCCTTACAATGTATCATTTGAGATTATTCAATCAACCTACTTACTAGTTAGTTAGTAAGTAGAGTATCCATTTTGAAGTTAAATTATACAGAATCCCTAATTCATTAACTACTACCATCAAGATCGAAGACTAATATATATATTAATTATTAGAAGGGGTTTTGTGGAGATTTAGTATTTATCATAGTGAGATAGGAACTCACTGAAGACAATTGGTGAATGATTGCTCAACTTCGTGGATCATTTGAAGTTAGACATTAACACTGTTGGATGCCAGCTCAGTGGTCTATCGGTTAAGGGCTTCGGTTCGAGACTGGTAGATCCTGGGTTCGAATCTCACGATAGCGGGTTCGTGGTTGCACACTGCTGAGGAGTCCCATAATAGGACGAAACGGCCGTCCAGGTTTTCCATGGTGGTCTAGATTCAATTGACTCACGCTTTCAACTATGATTATATATATAGCAGTGTATATTAAAAGTGAAAAATAAAAAAAAAATGGAAACTGTACAATATGTGCACAAACTTCAGCTTACAATAAAAAAGATTTTTTTTAAAAAAAAAGGGGGTGTTAATTTAGTTTAGAAACTGAAAAAAAAATAAACAAACACCAATCATATTGTAAAGGCTAAAAAATGTTTGTTTGTTTTTTTTAAAAAAATGAGAAAAATAATCTAGACTACTTACAAACTACTAATTAATGTTGGATAATTTAAATGACTTCCCTCAACAACAACCCCCCCCCTTCAAAAAAATAATTAAAAATATAATTGTATTATACTAAGCAGTAAAAAAAACAAACAACATATGATATGTGCAGTACAATTTAAAAATCAGAAAAAAAAGGGGGGGTACAGTACATTATAAGTTATTCACGATGGTTGTCATTGTTTGTTTTTCTTTTATAGATGATCATAGTTTGGGGTAAATGATTTCATTGTAATTTTTGAATATGAGTAGCTTTTTCCTAAAAAAAAAATTAAAAGATAAATAAATAAGAATATTATATAGTTGAAATCATGAGTCAATTGAAGCTAGATCATCATGGAATTACTGGACAGCCGTTTCGTCCTATTGTGGGATTCTTCAGTGGCAGTGCACATTTACGATCCCATTTCACGAGATTCGAACTTAGGACCTATCAGTTTCACGTGTGAGTGCTTAACTCTTTAAACTGATTAAGTAAAATACAATAATAATACATTCATTATGTATTTTATGTAAGTATAAACTTATTTAATAATGAACTTAACGATTCAACATCTCTATAGTTGAAAGCGTCAGTCAATTGAAGCTAGATCATCAGGGAAAACCTGGAAGCACTGAACGGTCGTTTCGTCCTATTTTGGGACTTCTCTGTGGCGGTACGCATCCATGATCCCTCCTCGCGAGCGAGATTCGAACCCAGGGCCTACCAGTCTCACGCCAGTTAACTGATAGATCACTGAGCCGGCATACAATGGTGTTAATGTCTAACTTTAACGAATCCACGAAGTTGAGCAACCGTTCATCAATTGTCTTCAGTGAGTTAATATCACACAACAGATGTGGTTTGGACTCCACTGGTCACTACTTCTCACTAGAACTCCTGGATATACCTCTCAAAGTCAGTGACTAGTGAGCATTCAACATCTATCAATGATCATCTTAATCACCATAAGAAAGTGTAAATGTTATTTTTTCATAATCATATTAAAGAAGGTAATATGTAACTATTCCAAAAAAGAAAACTTACTAAACCATCTGGATTATAAAGACTTGTTTGTATATATGAACCAGTACCCCAAGTTGAATATGGTGCTTCAATATCATTTATATTAGAATTACGTGTAGTTGGTTTACCTGCCCATATCTGAAATGGGTTTTTTATTTTTAAAAAGGATAAGCTTATTTAGGCTTAAGTAATCATAAAAAATTGATCATAATAACAGATACTACTAATTATACGTTATTATACAGTAATGATTATTGAATGTTGGATTCAAGAGTCAATGTAAGCTAGACTACCATTAATAACCTGAAAGCATTGAACGGTTGTCTTGTCCTAGTATGAGACTCCTTACCATTGCTTACGCACGATCCTGCACTTTAGAATTGGACCTTCGGTTTCGCGCATGAACGCTTAATCTTCTAGACCATTTAGCTGTCATCCAATACTGTCAATATCTAACTTCAATCAATCTATGATCTTGTGGAACCCTTCATCTATTGCCTGAGGTGTATACCTCACACAGATCCGATACAGATTGAACTCCATTAGTCATGGTTTTTTCTCGTCAGAACTCCAAGAAATTCATCTTGAAGCTAATCAGTAGTGAGTACATGATTTTGATTAAATTAGCAGATTGAGAGTTCCAGATTTTTCAATAGTGATCTAGCTTAGATTGATTCATGAGTTCAATTATGAAAATACTATAATCTTCACAAATCTTCAAAATTCAAGGGAAACCAATAAATATATTCATCTTAAATAAATTTTTTTAAAAAACCTGTTATCTAATATCTTCAAATATCGAGTTCAAGAGTTTTGAGACTCACTTACGCCTATTACCCCTCGTTGAGGAGTATAGGCTACCCATCATTAGTCTCCATTCAACTCTGCACTAGACAATCCTTTCCAGTTAACATTCATCCTTTTCATATCTGCTTCAATCTCCCGGCATAATGTACTCTTTGGCCTTCCTCTTTTCTCCTCAGGATTCCAACTTAGGGCTTACCTCGTGATGCAGTAAGTAAGTAAGTCTACTCTACAGGACTTCAACACCACTTAGATCAAGAACACATGATTAACCTAACTAGAATGTAAATATATTTCCACACCAAAATCCGACACAATCCAACAACAGCCAATCAATAATAAGGATTTATTATTATTTTATTTAAACACATAAATATTGGTACAAGGAAACACCAGATAAATATGCGCCTCACAAGTCTCATTTCATTTGTGTGAGGGCTGTGATACCGCAGAATGAAGCAGGTGGTTTTCTTAGGGGGCCACACCTCGAGCCTTTGACCTAAAGGTCTAGTCCAAAAGGCAGCGGAACATCGTGAGGAGATGCAGTCCCATAGTAGCCGGTGACCAACAGTTGGTTCATACGCCATTCGTTCCTTCAGGATACTGGAGCCCATGTGCACCATTGGTTTGGAATGAGGGTTTTCCAACTCCCCTAGGTGGACCAGCCGTGTCCACCAACCCGGTTAAAGCACCGGACATTCGCTTTTCGTCCTCTCAAATTCACAAACAACAGTAACGCCACAAGAAGACAGTGAGTAGTACGTCCCTGACAGTGGTTGTATGCACGTAATCATATAAGAACATTTCAAAAGGGAGAGCGATAGAATCATTTCTATTAATGAAACTAACGTTTATAACATCCGGGTGTCCAAACCGAAGTAGCTGGTTTTCTTATGGAAACACACTCCGAGCTTTTGACCTGAAGGTTTAACCCACAAATCAGTGGAGCAACGTCATGAGATGAAGTCTCATGGTAGTCGGTGACCAATAATTGGTTCATACTCCATTTATTTCTTCAGAATCCTGGAGCTCATTTGCACCACTGGTTTGAAATGAGGGTTTTCCAACCCCCTTAAGTGAATCCCCCATACCCACCAACCCGGTTAAAGCACCAAAGATTCGTTTTTCGCACTCTCCATTTCATAAACAACAGTAATGTCACGAGAAGGTAGTTAATAGGACTTCTATAACAGTGTCTGTATGCTCCGGGACTCGAACAAACAATACAAAATGAATTTCACTCAATGATTCTTATAGTTATCGACTTATTCAAACAATATTACACTTACTTTAACAGTTGAATGAGGTGATAAAGTATGATTAGGAAATGTATATCGAATTATTTGCCTTCCTTGGTCAATATTCCGAATAAGACACCAACCGAATAGTGATTCTTCCTAAATATCAGTTAGAAATTATTACTATTCACATATTATTATTAATATAGTTCAATTACTAATCTCCCATTGCTTTCTTAAAGAACTACATGAAAAACAACCTCATGTTGAAACTTACTTTCAAAATGATGCACAACTCTCCACATAGACTGGGATGGTTAGACCACTTATTACGTATGCCTGAACACCGATTACCACGACGAGCTATGCTGACTAGTGTAGGGGATGGTTGAAAGAGAGTTAGGGGTGGCCAAACCAAAACATGGCATCAGTCATTGAAGTCACTAACTTCTAGTATGAGTCATGTTGGTAGATGCAGACTACTTGGTTGGAGTTCGCGCGACTGTCGTAACCAATGGTTGGAGACTCTAGGTGACATGGCTCAGAATCTGCTGCAATGGCATAGGTGTATACACTCTTGATCTTCCCTTAAACCTTAAGATTAAAATTGCATCATATCTCCCTTCCTATACTATATTCTTATATACAACCTATCTTTTATACACTACCACCACTAAATTAACTATTTCTATGAATCCGGTGTTCATCTTGTTGTGCTAATGATTAAGGTATGGCAACTTGGACCGATGCATATATGTGCCTGGTCCTACGTTGTAGCTGACTGACTGACTGAACTTGCTTTCAGATATATATCTTAATGTTTCAAAGTTTAAAGTTGTATTGTATACAATTAATTCAGTTAGAAATAAGACAATTCACCATAGATGATGATATTTGGGTGATTATTGGATGTGACTACAAACCCATTGAAACTACATTCTAAAAACAATTACTTTCAAACTCATGAACTAAATGATAATAAGCTTGTTATTAGATCTGAATACTTTGGATTGAATTCTGTGTAAGGATGAGAGTCTGTACTATTGAGAAGTTGCAAAGTAAGACAAAATATCTGTCCAGTTCTCTTCTCTGGCTGATTGGAATTTACGGCAAAAGATATTTTAAGATCCTATTTTGTTTAGTGGATTACACTGAGATAAATCTTTTATAATTGTATGATCATAGTCAACTAAAAAATGGGAAAGACCGGACTGAACTCTAAGTGGTGTCCTGTAGTTAATGGATCTTGTTCATGAGCTAATGAGGGTGGCTAAGTAGAAATCAGGCTAACCATCTACTTTACTTAAACAGGTGGAAATTGGGCTAATCTTCCACTCTATCTTAAAATCTAATTAGTAGAAGGTAGTATATTCTTTGTATTGATATTAAAAGTAAAATATGAATTGTCGTACAGCTGGGACAAACAGTCATTTAGCTTACTGACTATTAAATATCTGATTTCCCTTCCTGTTATTGATTTCTAATACAGACTCACTGAGTGTGACTGCTTGTAATTGTGTTGAATAAAGTATTATCTAGTTTTAATATGATTCTCTATTCTGGGTTGTGAATCCTGGATCTGATATAACGTGACTAGTCTCATTATCTTATGAACATATTACGGTAGCATACCTGAGAGTGATCAAAATATTTTAAACCATCAGTCATGTCAGACATGCGTGAAAGGTTGTACTAGAGGAATGTTACCTTTTCTTTCCTGACCAAATTCAACCTGGGAAAGCCCATAGGGTTTGAGAGGGGTGAGCAAGAGCAAAGATAATAAATTGTTCCGTAAGCAGTATATGTGGGACGACATTAAATTTGCTTATGATGTGAATGTGATGAGAGCATATCGTCAAATGATGACTTATAATCGAACTGATTTCATTACTTTTTATACATTCAGTGTTTAGTAACAGCGAGGCTACGATATAGAGTGACTTCTATCTATACTTATATGTATACTATGGAGAGTTTAGCCTTCGGTTTGTGCACTCTATGTATGCATGTCACGGATACTAGAGAGCGAAAGCATCTATTTATATACTATGGAAAATAGTACTAAGGCAACACTCATTAGCTAAGTTAATACAATACTGGTAGTAAATAATCTAAATGAGACTAAGAACAGAATATATGTAAATCGTTATAAATAAACAAATTTTCAGTACAGAGGTTTGTGAACATTATCGAATGTGATTTATATGATCAACCAGCCTAAAAATGTCTATTGAAAACCAAGAAGCACCAAATAATTGTTTCTTCTTGGTATTGGACTCTTCAGCATTGAGAAACTACGACACTATCAACCGGGACCGAGGATGTAAATGCTTAGAACTACTATACATCAATGAATGATTATCATAGGCTTGAAATTTGATTAACAATCAATTAGTTACTGAATATTAGTAAGTACCATAAGGTTGATTACGGAAAGGAAAAAGTCAGAATAAGCACCATGTTATATTAGTGAAACTACAAAAAAGCGAAATGATGAGATTTCTCAGTGATATTGAATTATGAGGAGACAAGAAAATGGTAAAAGAAAGTACTATGGAATGGTTATACTACTAAAATAACTTAAAGTGATGTGCTTTGTTTTATATATAAGTTATATAATATAACCTTATGGGCCAGGGTACTTTTGCACTGGTTTTCAGGAGAACCAAACACTGTCCAGGCCTAACCCAAGCAGTACAGGTCAATCCCGCCCTATAGGAGAACCAGACACTATATAGGCTTCAACGCTACAATCCGAACAGCACAGCCCAATGCTGTGACGCAACCACTCAGGTACCAAACACCCTGGTGGACCATTCGCACCATTCATATACACATTTACATCCCGTGTATAAATATTCCGATCAGTGATCGCGTAAATCAATTATGCACAGCACGAACAGACCAAAGTTGACCCATTCCGCTTACACGACAGCCAAACCCATTAATATTGGCAATGGCGATATACCTTACAATCCTCCAATGACCTAGGCCCTTGAGAACACTGAGAAGCAACCACCAGTATGAATGAAATCGGTTAACCTGCCAACCAACTTTTCACATGGACAGCCAGCAAAACTTGCCAAAGCAATGCCGAACCATCTACAATTTCAATGGCAAACTTCCAGTTTCACATAAGACCTTCAGCTCTACATGGCCATATTGATTATACTGTATACTACACACATATATATGGTAGTAAGCGAAACAACCCATCCTGGAGTATTAGGGCCTAAGAACGCTTAAAACCCATTGTCTTGTGTCAGAATACTAATACAAGACCACCAAGATCATTTTTATCGCATTTTCGAAATTTTCATTTTTCCAACTTTCCAAACCCTGAGTAATGGGTAGTATCGCTGTGCTTTGTTTTACTCATAATAAATTTATTGTACAAATGCATTTTGTTCACAAAACAAATGACATTCAGACTAATAGTGCTCTAAAACAGTATGAACAACTATCTTATGTATAAACATACTACTAAATTATGTAAAGCTTATGGAATCGAGTAAATACTGTTTAATTTTTGAAACTACCTTAGAAAGTATTATAAGTAAAGATGGATGGTGACTGGTAAAAGAATCCAGGACTTGCGTTTCGTTTCATTTAAGACTTGTCTACTGGATGTGCTTGCATTTTACGGTTGACGATCATTTCAGAACTACGACACATTACTGTTAGCTTTAAATGCTATCACCTTACTCCCATAGCTACTGAGGTCGGATAGCCACTAACTTGTGGCTAGGACTAATCGACCGCAGTCCTCATCTTACAAAGAATTATTATTTATATTTTTATTGTACAACATATAGTTCTCTTCATTCTGCTAGAATCTTTGTTCTTGCTGTAATCTTTTGCTTGGTTCATAAATCATTGTTCCTATGCTTGACTTTTCTAAAGTGATTATTAATGAATGATGGATCAACTACTTATTTTCCTTTTACTTATGGCACATACGGTACGTAGTTGGTCAGTGAAAAAATTATTGAATTGTATAGTCATGTGAATCGATGGCCAAGTGGTTTTAGGTGTTCGACTTTATCCGCTAAGTTGAACTCAATTCAATTGAATAGCATTACTAGTCATTACATTTAAAGTATGGCTTAAAGTAAATTACATCAATCTGTACTGAATAAATGACTTAATAATGATGAATACAATAATTATAGTTTAGTTGAAGAGACGAAATAGCTGTTCACTGAACTTTAGTTTCTAGTGGCCCTTCAACTGTGACCAATCTGTGATGAATACAACCTAATAACCTGTTTTGTGAAAACGCACCTTTACACTAAGATACATATGCTAACTTTGTGATTTCATATGTGTGAATAAGAGAAGAGTAGAAGTAAATCTAGTGACGTAATGCATTTATTTATTTAGTTAAACACATAAATATTTGTACAAAGGGGAACCAGATATATATTCGCCACAAAAATCTCATTCGATTTGTGTGAGGGCTGTGATACCGCCCAGGTGCCCAAACCGAAACAGGTGGTTTTCCTAAGGGGTCTACTTTTGGAGCCTTTGACCTAAAGGTCTGATCCACAAGGCAGTGGGGCATCGTGAGGAGATGCTGTCCCATAGTAGCCAGTGACCAACGATTGATTCATACGCCATTTGTTCCCTCAGGATACTGGAACCCATGTGCTTCATTGGTTTGGAATGAGGGTTTTCCAACTCCCCTAGGTGGACCAGCCGTGTCCACAAACCCGGTTAAAGCACCGGACACTCGCTTTTTGTCCTCTCAACTTCGTAAACAACAGTAATTCCACGAAAAGTTAGTGATTAGGACTTGTGTGGCAGAGGCTATATTACGCGTGGCTATGTGAGAGTATTTCGAAAGGGAAAACGTACTCTCCCCACTCTCAGCCATACCAGGGCATTTGTTGGCCGAGGTAATGTATCACATTTTACTGTATCCCAGTAAAAGTTTATTATAATCAATTGATTTTGTACACACTTACATCTCATATCTTCTTCTATCTTTGTATCTACGCAATCTTCAATCAATGAATTATATCTATTTCTTATATGAGTCCGTTCCATTTCTTGAGTAATATCTACTATTGATCAATCATAACCAATATATAATCATTGTAAATTGATTGATTCTTTTGTACCAGTCAATTCCAATAAATCTCAATAGGAATATTTAAAAATTGAATCACAGTAAAATGGATTACAGTTAAATAAACTATGATAAATAAGCTAAAGAGATATTGTGTTATATACTGTTGATGTGGACAGATATAAGTAGTATGTATCATCAATCAAAAGTGGAATGCCTATCAACAGAAGGGTGAGAAGATCGAAAAGTGATTACGAGAACTAAGACTGATTGATATGGAACTGAAAGAACAATGATGTATGAGAAGACTGATGAACAGTTTTCAGTATGAAGTATTTACTGTATAGTTCTCAGATTCTACTACGATGTTCTGTAATTTTGTATTCGAATACATTTGGTTATCCTATGCTGGTGTTGTCGTTCAGTACAATATGATTATATTGGCTATACTACTTAATTACTATCATTTACACTCACACACATTAAGTTATTGATGAACTATCAATAACATCTTCAAAGAATATACATGAGTATAGACCTGTATGAAACTACGAATTAAAGTAGATACACTGCTCACTGTCTAACATTATATTACAAGGATTTATCTTACATTCTATCTAAATCCTTAGATCTTTGTCTCAGTATTATTGTTTTACAATATATACTACAAACCTCTTTCAATCAACTATTTCCTAGAAAGTAAGAAAGAAAATGACATTTATATTACATAAACCAATCAGTCATTCAGTTACAATGTAGAACTTCGTATGTACATACATCAATACGAGTTGCTATACCACATTAACACAGAGATCCAGTTATCGATTCAAATCCCATAGTGATAGAAGTAGTAAGAGTATAAGCATTATGTGAAAGATTAGGGTTTGAAGATGTTATTCAAGGAATATAATACAGTAAATTAAATTTGGAAAGAGAAAAAAGATAGAGACATGAAGAATTCAGAAGATTAGAATTTGGGAGAACACAAAGAGTGGATACACCTTTGACATTGCAAACGATTTTGAGCCATGTCATTCAAGGTCTCTAACCACCGGTTGCTATCATCTCGCGAATCCCAATCCGGTAGTCTACACCTACCAACATAAACCAATCAACGTAAACATTAGGAAACTACATACCCCCAAACTGATAACTTTATATATATCCAATAAGTTTGCGAATATCCAAGTTCAGTAGCTCAATAGATAAACCATTGTCTTTTGGAAGTGATGAATTATTGTTACAAGTCTATGTATGGATATGAATACTAAAAGATATCAGATTTAATCAACTGATGAGTCTCATATGAAATGAAACACACTAAAAATTGTTATATAACAGTTTAATTATTCACTTACTGTATTTCCTTTATTTAATATTTCAATATAAGATCCATTCTTTGCACAATCATTAATAACTAAATGTCCACGAGTAAATGTTTCACTATGACTCATTGAATTTTGTTGTTTATCAACTTGGAAAAATAAAAATAATAAAGATATTGTGCAAAAATTTAGGAATGTAACTACACTTATTTACGTACTTACTTACGCCTGTTACCCCTTGTTGAGGAGCATAGGCTGCACACCAGCATTCTCCATCCAACTCTGTCCCAAGCAATCCTTTCCAGTTCTTTCCAGTTAACATTCATCCTTTTCATATCTGCTTCTGTTTCCTGGCGTAGTGTGTTCTTTGGCCTATCTCTTTTCCGCTTACCTTCCGGATTCGAAGTTACGGCTTGCCTTGTAATGCACATTAGTGATTTCCTTAATGTATGTCCGATCCAATTCCAACGTCTTTTCCTAATTTCCTCTTCATCTGGAAGCTTGTTTGTCCTCTCCCATAAAATGCTGTTGCTGATAGTATCCGGCCAATGGATGTTGAGTATTTTGCATAAAAAACTATTTATAAATACTTGTACCTTCTTGACGATGGATGTAGTAGTTCTCCATGTTTCAGCTTCATACAGTAGGACTGTCTTGACGTTCGTATTGAATATTTTCACTTTTAAGTCAGTTGACAGTTGTTTGCTTTGCCAACCCTCGGCTTTACATCTGCATCAGATCCTCCTTGTTTATCACTAATGCTTGCCAGGTAGGTGAATGTTTTCACCTCTTCGAAAGTTTCTCAATCAAGTGTGACTGGGTTGGTGTTTTCCATGTTGTATTTGAGAATCTTGCTTTTTCCTTTGTGTAAGTTGAGGCCTTTAATGTAACGACACTAATAACTACAATATACTCAATCTTCTATGCATCATTCAAAAGATACTTCTTTTGTATATTATGGCATTTGGTATCAATGTAAATAGGTTAAAAAAGAATAAGGGGATCAAGTTTTAGATTATTTGAGTCTTTCCTTAAAAACTTTTCTCGAATACACACGATCCTCAATTGAATAAGAATTTCAAAATCACGACCTTTATATTTTATAGTCGGTATGTTAACAATGAATTATCTACTGAAAGTTCTACAATTCAATCAATCGTCTTTTCAACAAAGTATCAATAATCTGGTGTCATTCGAGACTAGAAAAGATAAATTTGAGAGTAGAATCTCTGAATCACAGTAAAACTGAACAGTAATGTTTTCTAATTCTTTTTATTTTCTCTTAGCCTTATTCTATCAAAAGCCATCATCCAGAAGATACAAGAGTTTATTGTTAACCGCGGGCTACGCAAGATACTTCGGATCCGTTTGCCAGATAATATCAGCAACATTCTACTGTGGGAGAGAACAAACCAGATTCCAGTGGAGAAAGAAATCAGGAAGAAACACTAGACGTGGATAGGACACACTTTGAGGAAATCAACCAATTGCGTCACAAGACAAGTCCTCACATGGAATCCTCAAGGTCAAAGGAGAAGAGGAAGTCCAAAGAACACATTAGTTTTAGAAATGAAGACAGACATGAGAAGAATGAACAACAACTGGATAGAACTAGAAAGGAAGACTGAGGACAGAGTGGGTTAGAGAATGCTGGTTGGCGGACTATGCTCCATTGAGAGTAACAGGCGTAAGTAATTAAGTACGTAAGCCTTATTCTATGTCATACAGCTCTTTCAAATTCACTTAGCTTTTTATGCATTGAAACTCAATCTACTAACTAGTAATATATCAGATTCACTAAAAAATTAATGACAAGAGAACTTGACCTGTAAGATCAACCTAAATGTTTACGGGAATAAGTGATTATACTGACACTACAATATCAGTCAACTATAGTTAAGAAAGTCTATCATTGTATTGTAGTCTAATATCTATCTATTCACTTTTAATGGTTAGTAACAGAAATTAAGAATGATACAATCAAACTTACGATCAGAGTAACTACAAGATAAATGATGATTACCTGGAATAGATTATAGAAGAAAAGAAATTTTGCGTAAGGTCAATTTCAATGAATAAATGTTTATTTTCATAATGACGTACAATTGTTGTTATGACCTAACTTCTTTCTCACTTCTTGCCAGCCTTGAAGGTTGGTAAAGCTTTGCTGGAAGCTGATTAACTTACCAGCTTACGAGTCCCGAATAGGACGAAACGCGCATCCTGGATTCCACTGCTAGCCACTATCCATCTCTGTTTACCATGCTTGTGAATTTAGGCTATATCGAGGCAATACGCACAGTATGCACATATAGTAATTAGAGACTAACCAGTGACAGTCCTAAAAACATCAATAGTAAGATTCAAACAAACAATACTAAATGAATTATCTGGATACTGTTTATTTACTTTAGCTGGACACATACCGGGGCCACATATAATTTTTCAGTGAGGAATCTTTTGTTGTCAGATCAAAATGAACAATTCACTGACATTTTTTTAAATTTGTAATTTTGAGTTGCATACACACCAAAAATACACAAATTAGAGACCTATGAATACTTAGCATACACATAGATACAAGTGCTTTGCTAGGATTTGATAATATCGCGAGGGCTAGATGGACTCTTAGCCTAAGATGGTGGAGAAGATTTGTAGCTCAGGTGGATGATTCTGATGGAGTTTTATTCTCTGAGCTGGATGGTTTGGTCGTGGAGCTTTCATCGTCCTTCTGAATAACATCATCATCACAAACTTAAGGTAGAAGTGAAGTGTTTGAATTTCTCCTCATGTGATTCACAGCTTGTTCTGTGCACCTCGATGTTGATTGGTTCTTGTTGACCTTAAATCTGTCACTGTTTATTTCTTTGTTTTGCTTGTATCTCTCATTGGTTTGAATTTTGTTCCTATGTTTCTATATAATTTTCCTGATTGGTTGGTAAATGGGTTTGATTGACACCTAGCCTTTTATTTAGAAGGTATGAATTACATGCACACTTAAAGTGTACATAAATTGGAGACCTATGAATTCCCTAAAATATATACAAAGATGAGTAACATGATTAAGGGGGTACGATAGTCTTTATTCTCATATTTGTTTTGTTATCGCTGTTGAGGTTTTAGGAAATATATACTTCATACACACCAGAAACATACAGATTCAGAACCTATGTATACCATGGCATACACATTAAAATAGACGCACCCAGGTATCCACCATCGTTAATATTTTCAACCTGATATTTTCGGTAGAAGTATTGGACTAGGCTTATCTTCATTGGACTGTTCATGTCAGCTCATGAGACAAATCCTACTATCCTGTAAGTACTAAGAGAAGTTGTAAATCCGGCTTTAGTTCATGGGCAAGAGTTCAATTCTACGTTAATTCTACCCATTTAAAAGAAAACTAGATTCCTGATCTGAATCATACATCATCATTATTATCATCTGCTTATATCTTTGATATTTATTTATATGTATGGGCATATTAATATTCGTACAAAGGGGCACTGATTACATATGTGATACTCAAGTCATTTGATTTGTGTGTGGATGTGATAGTGCATGGGTGTCCAGACCGAAGCACGCGGTTTTCTTAAAGGAACACACCCCGATTCTCTGACCTGAATGTCTTATCCACAAGGCAATGGAACAACGTTAGTGGTGCAGTTCCGCAGTAGCAGATGACCAATAATTGGTTCATACGTCATTTGTTCCCTCAAGATCTTAGAGCCCTTGTACACTATTGGTTTGGAATCATGGTTTCCCATCTTTCCTAGATGGATCCTCCATATCCACCAACCCGGGTAAATTGCCGAACTTTCGCTTTTCGTTATTTCAACAACACCCCTGGTCCGAGAAGATAATGAGTAGGACTTCTTTAATAGTGGCTGTATACACGCGGTCATGTGGGAGCATTCAAGATGGAGAGCGAACTCTCCCCACCTTTGGTCGTACCAGGGCATTTTGGAGCTAATCTTTCATAGCTGAAAATTAAAGCTCAAAGGACATATATTTCACAAATGAATTATAAAAACGTTATCATTAATGTAATATGCCATCAGTATACTTAAACAAACTAACTGAAGATTCCTTATTTAAAGTTATATATGAATAAGAGTAATATCAAAAGAATAACTGTTTGAAAAGCTTAAAAATGTACTAATTCATTATAATTGACCATTAAACAAATAAATTCTTAAAGAATTTTATATAGTTGAAATCATGAGTCAATTGAAGCTAGGTCACCATGAAAAACCTGGAAGCACTAGACGATCGTTTCGTCTTATTGTGGGGCTCCTCAGCGGTGCGCATCCACGATCCCACCTCGTTAGATTCCAACTCACAGCTTATCAGTCTCTCGCGCGAGCACTTAATCTCTAGACCACGGAGTTGGAGGATCTCTAATGGTGTTAATGTCTAAATTTAACCAATCCACCAAATTGCACTATTGTCCATCATTGTCTTCAGTGAGTTACTATTTCACGACAGACCTGATTGAACTCTATTGGTCACAGTTTCTCACTAGAACTCCAAGAAAATACCTCTTGAAGCTAGTCACTAGTATTGGTCTAGCTTCAATTGACTCATGATCTTTTTTTCATTCACTGGGACATTGTATACTTTTATTGTAGTGAACAAAACACTAGTTGGGGACAATCGAATATATTTAAGCACACATTAAAAACTATCCTACTAAGATCTGATAACCATACAGTCAATAGTTAATTTGCAAACTATCAATCAATTATCTCAATCTTCACTGTTCCTTCAGTACTAAATATCAATTCATCTTCTCTAATTTCATTGTTTGTGCACTTTTCTAACAATTATGCTTCATTTCACTTCTTTCCTTATCAATCTTCTACCAAAATACATTCTATGCCTGACCATCATCATATACTACTTATATGGATATAAGTAGACCACACTACACTACTACTACTAATAATAATAATTAATCATTTTTATTATTTACTTATCCTAATAAATCAAGTTGCTTTTTTTTTAAATAGGCGTTGTTCTTTGTATCTAATCTTTCCTTTTTCTTCTCCTTCCCTTTTTTTTTCTTTTCCCCTAAATTACAGGTTCTTCTTATTGAGTTATTCTTTCATGAAAGGAATAAATTTTTAGTAACTAGTCGGTGAAAAAAAAACACAGAGAGAGAAGTGTTCATAATAAACATAAAGAAATTTTGCGAAAAGAATATAGTGTAGAAAAAGAAAAAAAAGAGGGGGGGAATAGTATTGAAAAGATTATCTTGACAACAAAGATATAAACATTGTATGTATGTGTATATATATGTGTGTTTGTATGTGTATGTGGACACGTGAATCTATGTCAGTAAGTAGTATATTCATGATTTAAGTAGATATATTATCCAGATATATTTTTTTAGCTAAAATTCTTGTTTCGTAGGTTACACCCAATACTCACTTTAGGACAAAAGAATAATATGAATGATAATAATAGGAGTAATGGTAAGGATGAGAACTTTTTGTTTATTCTTATTGTTTACCTATAATGATACGTCATCATTACTAATTGTGTTCATCTACATCTATTTATGTAGGTTAACCAGTTGAATTTTGTACATGAAAAGAAGATATCAAAATGATTGATTATTTCATTGTTTATTTATTGATATCCTTTCTTTTTAAATGGGAGAGAACAAACTAGATTCCATCCAGTGGAGGAAGAAATTAGGAAGAAGCGGTGGAAGTGTTAAGGATATACATTGAGGAAAGCTGCCAACTGAGTCACATGACAAGGCCACACATGGAATCCTTGAGGCCAAAGGAGAAGAAGAAGAAGAAGACCAAAGAACACACTACGATGAGAAATGGAGACAAATTTATTTATTTATTGATTTGAACACATAAATATTGGTACAAGGGGACACCAGATATATATGCGCCACACGAAAAATTGTCATTTCATTTAATTGTGTGATGGCTATGATACTGTCTGGGTGCCCAGACCAAAGCAGGTGGTTTTCCTAAGGAGTCACACCAGGAGCCTTTGATCTAATGGTCTGATCCACAAGGCAGTGGAGTATCGTGAGGAGATGCAATCCCATGGTAGCCAGTCACCAACAATTGATTCATACTCCGCTTGTTCCCTCAGGATACTGGAGCCCATGTACACTATCGGTTCGGAATGAAGGTTTTCCAACTCCCCTAGGTTGAGTTTCCGTGTCCACTGACCTGGTTAGAGCACCGGACATCCGGTTTTCGTCCTCTCGATTTCGTAAACAACAGCAATGCCACGAGAAGGCAGTGAGTGAACAACAACTGGATAGAACTAGAAAGGAAGGTCAAGGACAGAGTGGGTTGGAGAATACTGGTCGGCGGCTTAGGCTCCATTGAGAGTAACACGCGTAAATAAGTAAGTTTTTTCCAAAAAAAATTCATTTTATTTACTTACCTTCAATAGATCGTTCAACAAAATTATGTGATCTAGTTGATTGACCGCTAGGTTCTTCTCTTTCTACCCATCTTCCAGAACTAAATATACATAAAATTATAAATAATTGATAATTGACATTGTCACAAAAGTTAATAATCATAGTGTTTCAACCAAGAACACAAAAAAATCATAAACACAGTCAATCTGATCAGTATCTTGACTAAGTGTATGAACTAATATGAAATCTGATATTTATCAAGTCTCCTAATAGTTAAACATCTATAATGAATTAAAGACTGGATAACATATTCATTGCCTACCGTTGATGCTATCTTAACGTGGTGGTCGGGATTGCCTATCGCATGACTGGAACAATCGTTCCACAAGGTCCTACAATGCCAGATAGGTCGGTTGAAGAGCGGTAAGACTAAACACAGCAAAACCAAGGTCCGAAGGCGAAGTCGTACAGCTTACTGTACAGAGGTGTGACAGCAGTAAGGTGTTTCTTTCAGACAACCAGCATAACAGCGATGCTGCCTTCCTACAACGAGGGGTGGGGTTAGAAAAGGTTGACCCTAAAAATGCACACCTCGCCTTATCCCATGGATATCCGTTTCCGGCGGTAAGGTCCCAACAAGTACGGAGCTAACACAAAAATTACCCACAAAAAGGTCTTGTGTGACCGACCTCAAGCAGTTGTCCCTTGGGCATTGCGGTGCCGCTCTCAGGTCATTATGACCACTTCTAACCCTATTTCCTTTTCAGGTATCTCTAGAAGAATCCTTCCACGATGTGGGCAACCGGGAAGTGATAACCGCCCTCATACCTCTAACCTCATTTATAACTCATATTCTTCAATCTTCAATGATAGATGTAAATAAAGAATAAGCACTCCATTAGGATTAACAGGCGTAAGTAAGTAAGTAAGTAAGTAACAAGTTCATAGTATGTATATGTATATGTATCATTGATGACGTAATTGATCATACAAAACTGTTTCAAATGACTTACACATTATTATGAGATTGTTTTTGATGTTGTGATGATCCTGTTGTATAAGATGGTACATGTATATTTAATTCATTACGTGGACGATAATTTCCTGATCCTGATCGATTTGAATGATGTGATTGATGTGGATTTTGTTTATCATTTGTATGAGATTTTGTATTTGATATTAAAGAATCTTGTGCTTCTAATAATCGACTATATGCAGCTATTTCAGCTTCTAAATTTAATTTTGCATCAGTTAATGAAGATAATTCTTTATGAAGTCTTGTTAATGCTTCTTCAGCTGATTGTTTTTCATGTTCTGATTCAGTGATTAGTTTATTTAATTGATTACGTAAATTTCTTGATTCTTCAACGGATTCATTTAAAGAACGTTCTAATTGATCACACTAAAAAATATGAGAAAAATTGGGAAATATTGTTTATTTATATCGATAATATAGATTATAAAAGATGTAAGTATTATTGTGGTGTAGTCTACTTATACTCATATAAGTAGTTTATGATGAGGGTCAGATATAGAATGTAGTTTAGCAGAAGATCGATAAGGAAAGATCCAAAACAAGGCGCAATCGATATGAAAATAAATGAACGATGAAATCAGTGAATATGGACTGATATTTGCAGAAGGAATGGTCAAAATTGCAAACTAAGTGTTTACTATGTGGTTATCAGATTTTAGTGAGATAGTCTGTAATTTGTGCTTAATTACATTCGATTGTCCTCACCCGTGTTCTTGTTCATTACAACAATTGACTAATTGATTAACACTCTTATACAAGCTTCAAACGCATAAAATTTTTTAAACAGGAAAAGGAGGAAGTTAAATTTGATAACAAGAACAAATGATGAATTTATATTCAACTTTGAACCAATCCACGAAATTGACCAACCATTTCGCCAATGTCTTCAGTGAGTTTATATCTTCCAACAGACCTGATTACTGCTTTGATTAAGTGCTCGCACGAGAGACCGATAGGTCATGGGTTCGAATCTTGCGAGACGGGATCGTGGATGTGCACTGCCATTGAGGAGTCCCACAATAGGACGAAACGGCCAATCAGTGTTTCCAGGTTTTCCATGATGGTCTAGCTTCAGTTGAATCATGACTTCAACTATATATATAAAATTACTAAAAATTTTCACAAACAACCCACTTATCATATGCTCACTAGTGAATGGCTCCATGAGGTATCTCCTGGAGTTCTAGTGAGAAGCAGTAACCAGTGGAGTTCAACCAGGTCTGTTTAGAGATATAAACTCATTGAAGGCATTAGTGAAATGGTTGCTGAATTTCGAGGATTAGTTGAAGTTAGACATTAACATTAATAAGATCTTGTTAACTACATTATATCTATATGAATTTTAATTATTCATCTAGTGAAATTTGTTGACTGATCTCTTGAAACCTAAATTCTCAAGCAGATCTATCTATGCTAACATGAAGTAGTTGCTAATGCCATAATTTAGATGATATTGTTTGAAGCAAACTAGATGACCACTGTGGATCTGATGCAGATGAGCGGGTGAGAATCGGCAAAGCAAGAGCAGCATATATACAATTGAAGAACAGCTTGAATTCAAAACAATTGTCAACCAACAACAAGATCAGAATTTTCAATACAAATGTCAAGATAGTTCTACTATATGGAGCGGAAATTTGGAGAACTACGAAAGCCATCATCCAGAAGATATAAGTGTTTATTAACAGTTGTCCACGCAAAATACTTCGGATCCGTTGGTCAGACACTATCAGCAACAGGATACTGTAAAAGACAACTAATCAGATTCCAGCGGAAGAAGAAATCAGGAAGAAGCGTCGGAAGTGGATAGGACACACATTGAGGAAATCAACCAACTGTGTCACAAGACAAGCCCTCATGTGGAATCCTTGAAGCCAAAGGAGAAGTGGAAGTCCAAAGAGCACATTACGCCGAGAAATGGAAACAGACATGAAAAGAATGAACAAAAACTGGATAGAACTAGAAAGGAAATCTCAGGACACAGTGGGTTGGAGAATGCTGGTCGGCAGCCTATGCTCCATTGGAAGTAACAGGCGTAAATAAGTAAGTAAACTAGATAATATCGGCTTTCATTTACACTGAAACTATAACCCAGTATCCAAAATTTAAAATAATAAAATATGACCTTAGAAGTAAAATAAACAAAATAGAATGAAATCTATATCAGAATACTAAACCTATTTGACTAATGAACCTATCAAAACAGAAATATCTGTCAATTCATATCTACCCCCCATAAAATCTCCTTATGAATCTAATGAATGAAGTCCAATAAGCACTCTAGAAAAATGTACTTCAATTATCCACTGGTATTCATTCTAATTAACAACTTATAGTTGATCATCACAAGTCAGTCGTAAAATGAAGATGCCCTTAAACAACCTTGTATATACATATATATATATATATATATATATATATAAGTGATAGCGGATGTTTTTTTTGTCCAGCTTAATGAAATTATTCAACAACAAAAAATACCATACATACTTCTCTTAATAGAAGTACATTTAACACCAAAAAAGGTACTATTTAGAAATTAATTATATTAGACTTACTCTTGCACGTAATTGATCATCACGACCACGTGTACCTTCTAAAGCACTTTTAAGTTTTGAATTTTCTTCTTGTAATCTATTAAATTCATTACGTTGTGATGAATCTTGTCTATTTAATTCATCCAACTAAAATATAATAAACCAAAAAAATAAATTGATAAAGAAAATAGTTACTACTCTGTGAACAATCAATTGTACATGACATATTAGGATAATCATGACTAGAACTGCTCAAAGGAAACATTTTAGACCATGAAACTGGGTTATACCGTTTTGAATCACATAACGATCATCAGTTCCTTCTAGATTGTAATTAAGCCTTAATGAAAAGTTAAAACTAACTTGGAACCTAGTTCAACCGGGGTATCATACCGACTACCTCCTACCACTTAACATTACTTAAGAAAAAACAACCAGAGTGTCTTGATACAGGAAGATAAATTCAGATTATCAGTGATCCAGCAAAACACAACAACAACTAACCCAAGTCAGAAAATTACTTGTAGATGAAGAAACACTGGAAAGTTGTTTCGTTCTCTTGTATAGAACTCATAATAGATTGGTTTCTACAATCCGATTAGGGATTGAACTCAAGACCCTCAACTTCTTAACCTTAATGAATTACCGATGTTGTGTAGCTATTGTCTGATGCCATTGATAAGTAACTAACTCATACTCCCGAGTTAACCTCTTGAAATTAGTCACTAGTTAGCACATTTTTACTACTAGTAGTATAGATGGATCATGGAGATTAATGGATCTTATAGTTTTGCATGTATTATGATTGTCATAATAATAATAGATCCATGTCTAAGTAGAAATCATGAGTCGATTGAAGGTAGACCACTATGCGAAACCTGGAAGCACTGAAAGGCCGTTCCGTCCTATTATGAGACTCTTCAGCAGTGCGCATCCACGATCTCGCATCACGAGATTCGAACACAGGACCTACCAGTCTCGTGCAGGAGCACTCAACCTATAGACCACTGAGCCGGCCGGGATCCAACAGTGTTAATGTATAACGTTAACCAATCCACGAAGTTTGAGCAAGTGTTTACCAATTGTCTTTAGTGAGTTGATATCTCTACAACAGACTTGCTTGAACTCCACTGGTCACTGCTTCCCATTAGATGCAGGCTCAGTGACTTATCGGTTGAGTGCTCCGGAGAGAGACTGGTAGGTCATGGGTTCGAATCTCGCGAGTGCAGGATCGTGGATGCGCACTTCTGATGAGTCCCATAATAGGATGAAACGGCCGTCCAGTGCTTCCAGGTTTGCCATGGTGTTCTAGCTTCAATTGACTCATGTTTTCAACTATGAAAATACTGAAATCTCCACAAAACCCCTTCAGATCCATTTCTATTGAAATTATATAGAGATATTCAAAGAAATTTTCTAATCAATTCTGTCATTCACACTTGTAATAAGGAAGAAGATCCATGGATATTGATTATATCAAAAGTACAATATAAATATGTAATACAGTATACATGATGATTACATAATACCGTTGTTCAACAAGTCATATGATTAAAAAAAATCAATAAAAATGAGTACATTAAATAAAAGTACTATTGAAATTAGAAAAAAATTAAAATAAATGTAATTTTATATACTTGGAAATAAAGTAAATAGTTAACCAAAGATGGATAGTGGCTAGATATAGAATCCAGTTTGACGCACGTTTCATCCTATTTGGGACTCATCAGCTGGATGTACCTGCATTTCAGTATGCACAGTATGCACATATACTAATTAGAGACTGACCAGTTGCAGTCCTAAAAGCATCAATAGGAAGATTCAAACAAACAATACTAAGTGAATTTAAAGTAAATAGTTGTTCTTCTCATCATCATCATCATCATCATCGTCGTCGTCGTCATATACGTGTGGATATATACTTGTGTTGGTGAGCAATATCATTATCTTTGTAGTAAATCCGAAAATTTGTTCAGATCACAAAAATATAAACGGATTACTCTTAGTCGAATAAGAGTTTTCCATAGATAGTTGGTGACATAATTTTTAAACATGGATCTTGTTAGTTCTCTAGTTGATCATTATCAAAAAGTACAAGTATTTAAGCAAGATACTCCAGATTTGTTCACCAGAGACCATCAGCAATCAACTAGTGTGGCAATAAACAAATCAGTTGCCAGTTTCTGTGAAACTTAGAAAACAATGCTGGAGGTGGATATGAAACTTTACAGAAATCATCAAGCTTCATCAAAGAGCAAGCCCCAACTTGGGATGTTAAAGGCAAGAAGAAGAGAGGCAAATCAAAGAATTGGAGGAGGCAGATATTAAGACCATGACTACCACCTGACAACAACTGGCAATGAGAGCCCTGGTTAGAGTTCATTGGAGATTTTTGGTTGTCTACATATATTCAGTTAAGTGAGTTCGGTGTTGTAGCATTCTCCGAGCTAAATGATTTAATTTTAAAGCTTCCATTGCCATTTCAGACAATATCATCGTCCACATTCAATGAGAGCTGATGGTTTGGTTGTCCGGAACAACAATGTGAGCTCCATCAAACGTATTCACTTTAGCTGTAAACCTCCTCTATCATTTTAATGTAGGGTGAATAGTTGAGCAAAACAGTGAACATTGACATAACTTTTCCGCTTAGGTTAGGTGATAACGACAAATAGCGATTGGATATATTCATGGTGGTAAACGTAGTGGTTTATCTACTTAAAGCAATAATTCGATTAAATTATATTTTTTCACTCACACTACTGGTTCCATTGCTTTGATCAAACTGTGTGAGAAGATACAGAAATCTCACTTGAACTGCATATGGTAGTTGTATAATATGACTTGAAATTGATGACAAAAGGTCGAATTGATTCTTTCTTTAACCAAGCCTTTTGAAGACTTCATCATGAGACTCCAGTTGAAATAGCTTAGTTATAGTTCACAATTTTAATTGTTGCTCGTTTTGTCAATACAAGTGATGTAAAGAAATATGTCTCCAACCCATATTAATTTGTCAGTTGAAGATTTCACTACACTACATAACAGATTTATCATGGGAGACGTGCTGTCGTTTGCCCATTTCGTTTCTAAGGCATGGGATTTCATCTTCCTTAGTCTTCGTTTTCTCTTAATAGAACTCTACAAAGCAACTGGAGTATGGAACAGCTGGAAGAAGCAGTGAAGTAATTACTTAATAACAGATAGTCTTAACCCTCTGTCTTCTCAGAGCTCACATTTAACACAGTTAAACCTATATTCATGACATTATCTAAAGTTTAAAATGTGGACCGTTGAATTAAAACTCAGTGCCGGCGAGACTATAATTTATAGATGACCTTTGAGTGAATCTTAAGTGACCTTGAGAAATGTTAGTCAATCGGTAAACAGTCAGCATAGAGTAAAAATATATTATACAACACCAAAAAATTAGAATAAGTACACGTCTTTTATATGGACCAAAAAAAGTGTCAAGGTTAGAAAAACGTTCAAAGGTTTTAAAATCGTAGTGCATAAGGTAGACGAACTCATCCATATGGCTCCATAATAGTTGGTCTCTGGAGCCATGATAAGGTCACAAAAGCCCTCTCAGCCTCAACCACATAGCTTCATCATTGTTTGTATATACTCCAGTTGTGTAAGTTTATCATTTTTATTATGGATATATCCTTACAATACTCAAACCACTGAACAGCCGAAGCTTCAGTAACATCTGCAATAATTGCAGCCAATGTTACTGATGCTTTTATTATACAGTTCGCGGCAATTGTTATAATATGCCTTAGTCTCAATCTGGATCGAGCAATAAAGGTTCCTATTCTAGCAGACGTCTTCCTCCAACATATATTACATCGAAGGACAACATCACGGTAGTCTGCACAATGTCTACAAGTCACTTAATCACCACAATCACAAATAAAGGAACTTCTTATTAGTCTCATTTGTTGTAGCCGCCTAATTGTCAACTCTTCCCTAAATTTGTGTAAACCGATCGTATATGAGCATCAGGTACTGAAAGCGGTGCTGTGACCTTGAAATCTCTCAAACGCTTATGATTGGCTTTTCCATAAATTATAGTCTCGCCCTCAATGCCTTAATAGTATTACATACATGCTATCAAAATTTGGATCTTCTATTGAGGACCTTCTGTGGGGTCATCAGTCACTACTAGTGAACAGTGACAAAAAAGAAAAAAATTGTTGAATCTTCTTTGGTCCTCAACGGTCACTCAGTCATGTTCAGTTCACAACTAAAAATTACCGCCGTAATATATTACAAATACTTGTCATCTGCTTTAATTCCTAGAAGTTTCAAATCAGCATAATATTACCCCATTTGATGTTAACTTCTGTGACATCATATAATCATGCACATACTTACTCTTGTTAAATAACTTTGTTCCATCTCTTCACGAATACGATCTAATCTATTATCATATTCTAATTTAATATCACGAATTGTTTTTTGCATTAATTGACGCCAATGTTCAACATCTTGATCATCATTAACATTATTATTCATTGAACGTAATTCTTCAATTTCTTGTTGATGTACACGACGATAAAATTCCATTTCTTCTTTTAATGTTTGCATTTCTGATTGACATGTCATACGACTAGCTGTTTCTTCATCTAAGTTCTATGAATGTAGTGAAAGAAAAAACACAATACGATATTATAATTATGAAATGGCTTACATACAAATCAGTATAATAACATATGGGTTGTATGAGAATAACAATTGCTGAAGAGTTCAGGACTTAGTTAAAACATACGTTTTCAATGATATCCTAGATGATATCAGACCAAGATAATAAAATCATCAAACAAACTTTTTGTTAACTATACAGTATACATCACTAATAGAATTCAGTTAGTATTTTCATAGTTGAAATCATTAAACAATTGAAGTTCGAACACCATGGAAAACCAGGGAGCACTGGACGGCCGTTTCGTCCTATTATGGAACTCCTCAGCAGTATGCATCCACGATCCCGCCTCACGAGATTCGAACCCAGGACCTACCAGTCTCACGCCAGAGCCCTTTACCGATAGACCACTGAGCCGGTATCCAATAATGTTAATGTCCAACTTCAACCAATTCACGATTTTGAGCGACCGTTCACCAATTGTTTTCAGTGAGTTGATATCTCTACAACAGACTTGGTAGAACTCCACTGGCCACTGCTTCCCATTAGAACTCAAGGAAATATCTCTTGAAGTCAGTCACTGGTGAGCATATGATTATAGATCAGAAGGGGTTTGGTGGAGAATTTAGTATTTTCATAGTTTAAAGTACTAAATTCTCCACCAAACCCCCTCTGATCCAGAATTCAGTTGGACGACCATTGAAAATGAGAATACATCAGACAGTTGTTCTTTCTTCTAGTACAAAACTCAGCCGTATGCATCTACAAACCTATTGGGGATCTGATCTAGTGCCTTCAGATCTCGAACGAGAAGCTTGAACTTTAGACGACAGAATAGGCATATTATTGTTTACATTTCTTGAGTTAATTTGTTCGTGGTGTTGTTTACGGGATTTTAACGATTATGTAAATTAGGTTAATCCATGATATAAACTTTAACATTTGACAAACCCCTAAACCTCCTTCATACAACAGCTTTATTTATCATTAACTTTGGTCCTAAATTCAATATGGATAATATCGATTAAGTACTTAACTGTTCATTTCATTTGTTTCACATTTCAGCAAATAATGACTGGTATAAGAATAGCTTTCGTGTCACACATAAATATTGGTACAAACGGGCACCAGATATATATGCGTCACACAAATCTAATTTGATTTGTAGGAGGGCTGTGATACTGCCCATGTGCCCAAACTAAAGCAAGTGGTTTTGTTAGGGGGCCACACCCCGAGCCTTTGACCTAAAGGTCTAATCCACAAGGCAGTAGAGCATCGTGAGGAGATGCAGCTCCATAGTAGATGGTGACCAACAATTGGTTCATACGTCATTTGTTACCTCAGGATACTGGAGCCCATGTACACCATTGGTTTGGAATCAAAGTTTTCCAACTCCACTAGGTGGACTCTCCGTGTCCACTAATCCGGTTAAAGCACCGGACATTCGCTTTTCGTCCTCTCAATTTCGTAAACAACAGTAATGTCATGAAACGGTAGTGAGTAGGATTTTTTTAGCAGAGGCTATATACACGTAGTCATGTGAGAGCATTTCGAGAGGGAGAGCGAACTCTCCTCACTCTCGGCCGTACCAGGGCATTTGGGGGCCATAAAGAACAACATATATAAACTACTTATGTCGAAGGTTTACACATATTTTAATTATGTATAATATTTGTGGGTTTTGATTTGCATGTAATATCAGTGAATAAATGGTGTTGTCATACGAACATTTAATTAAGATTATGATTTTATATCATCAGTTGTTCTATTCTAAATTTTGAAACTGGTCTGTCGGTTAACTTAAACTAAAATATAACAGTGTTATTTTGTAGATTATACTGTAGTCAACGTGAACACATGTGGGAACAATCTAATGTATTTGAACATCACAGCTACACAACATCTTAGTAAAATCTGAAAACCATACAGCAATTATTATAAGCAAAGATGGATAGTGACTAGCAGTAGAATCCATTTTAACGCCCGTTTCGTCCTAATTGTGAATCGTCAGCTGGAATTTACCTGCATCTCAGAGTTGATGTTCACTCTGGAACTCCAACCCAGTACCATTCGCTTCAAACGCCATTGCGTTATCTACTCACCTACTGAGTCCTGCTAGCCACTTACTTGTGCACTGGGGTGAAGTTTAAATTTACTTGGTATTGTTTATTTGAATCCTCCCATTGATGTTTACGACTACAATTGATCAATCTCATTGTCATATGTGCACACTGTGTGTAATGCTTCGATATAGCTTTGATTCACAAGCATTATGCACATGTGCTAATAAAAACTGATCAATTGCAGTCCTAAACGTCAATAGGAAGATTCAACCAAACAATGCCAAGTGAATTCATACAGTAAATACTCCATTTGCAAAATGTCAATCAAGTGTATCAAACTTGACTGTTCCTACTGAAAATTGTCAATCAATTGTCTCAGACTTCATTATTCCTTCATTTCCACACCAATCATTCTTTGTTCTCCTTTTCCTTTCTTTGATCTTCATAACCTTCTTCTGACTCCAGGTATTTCACTGTCGATTGATGATACATACTACTTATATCTGTCGACATCAGTAGCATACATCACAATACTATATTCAATTTACTATACCCTAAATGTTTTCATATAAATAATCTCTTATTTTATGTCATTAATAGTTAAGACTAATTAGATTTTAGAAATTTTGTCTCACTAGGTTCTTGTCTAGGATAAAAACAGCTGTCCAGGAATTCCAAGTTTTCCATGGTAGTCTGACTTTAATTGACTTATGAATTCAACTGTTGTCTGAATGACATGCAGTTGTTGATTCATCATCAATATAAATTTAACCATAAACAATAATGAAGTTGTAGAATTGTATGGCTTAACAGTTATTCACCGTGAGAGTCTATATAGTTACATACTGATTAACACTTCATGACTGTTATTTTTTTGTGTATTTATTATACAACATTACAAGGTATTATTCGTTAACATTATAACTGCCATCTCATAATGGTTCACTATTACTCATCGATCATCTTGTATACTGTACATAAATGACTACTATTTTAAGAATGGACGAGACGCGCGTCAAACTGGATTCCACTGCTAGCCACTATTCAAGTTTCTTTATAATGCTTATGAATTAAGGCTATATCGAGGCAATACGCACAGTATGCACATATGCCAATTAGAGACTGACCAGTTGCAGTCCTAACAAATCGATGGGAAGATTCAAACAAACAATACTAAGTTGAATCTAAACTTCACCCCATCGCACAAGTAAGTGGCTATCAGGACTCAGTGGCCGAGTGGATAACGCAATGGCGTATAAAGCGAACCGTACTGGGTACGAGTCCCAGAGTGAACATCAACTCTGAGATGCAGGTACATTCCAGCTGACGAATCCTAAATAGGATGAAATACGCGTCAAACTGGATTCCACTTCTAGCCACTATCCATCTTTGCTTATAAAGCTTATGACAATATCGAGGAAGACCTCATAGGATGCACATATGCCAATTACAGTCTTAATAACAGTGGTAAGATACAAGTCAATAAAAACTTTGATTTTACAGCTAACTACTATGTAATTATCAGAAGGGGGTCTTGTGAAAATTTTAGTAATTTTCTATGGTAAATATCATGAGTCAATTGAAGCTAGATTGATTGAAGTTAAACAATAACACCATTGGATACCAGCCGACTCAGTGGTCTATCGGTTAAATGCTCACGAACGAGACTAATAGATCCTGATTTCGAATTTCACGAGGCGGGATCGTGTATGCGCACTACCACTGAGGAATCCCACAATAGGACGAAATAACCGTCCAATGTTTCCAAGTTTTCCATACTATATAATTCTTAGAAATTCACAAATATAAACGTATAAAATTAAAATAATTTTAATACTATTCTCAATTAGATTTAAGAATTAGAAATAAAAAATACAAAAAAAAGAGAAACAATATCAGATGATGAATAAATTTGATTTCTAAAAATGACATCAGCTGTTTCTTCGGGTTTTTCTTTTTTTTAACGGTCAATGAGATTCATATTTGAAATAAACAAACAAAAAGAAAGTGTGCGTGTGTGCCTTCAAGTGTGTGTGTGTGAGAGAGAGTGTGCAAGTGTGTGTGTGTGTGAGAGAGAGAGAGTGTGCAAGTGTGTGTGTGTGAGCATGAGAAATAGAACAATAATGTAAAATAGATAAATGATTATATAATAAACTTTGACATATTCTATTATAATCCAAAATATAAAAGTACAATATAAAATGTAACGCATAATCATATGATTGATTGATTGATTGATGAACGGATGAATGAATGAATTATCCAATAAAACAAAATTTCGCGCCAAAACGTTTTTTTTTGAAAAAAGGTAATGAATGACTTTCATAAAGATCTATCTTTATGATTTAAAATAATTAATCTATACAATATAGAATAGTACTTTAAATACATTTTTATTAGTATTAAGGTTAGTATTAGAATAAATTATTGAAGAGGTAGTTGAAATCATGAGTCAATTGAAGCTAGACCACCATGGAAAACCTGGAAGCACTGGACGACAGTCTCGTCCTATTATGGGACTCCTCAGTGGTAGTGGGCACCCACCATCCCACACTCGTGAGTTTCGAACCCAGGATTTACCGGTCTAGAGCCGGAGCCCTTAACCGATAGACCACTGAGCCTTCTAACTTCAATCAATCTACGAAGTTTGAGCAACCGTTCACCAATTGTCTTCAGTGAGTTGTTATCTCACAACAGACGTGGTTGAACTCCACTTGTCACTGCTTCTCACTAGAACTCTAGGACATATATCTTGAAGTCAGTCACTAGTGAGCATATGATTATGATTCCTTGAAAAAAAACTTGGATCAGATTGCCAGGCAAAACGTTGGATTTACTACAAATTCATTCGTTGAGGTTTTACAAATATATGTTATTCTTATTTAATGTCTTACATCAACTCAGCGCTAAAATACTGTGAAACTATTCACTTTAATTTAAACGAAAGTTCATATATAAAAGAATGATTGATGTGGAAATCAAAGAACAATGAAATCTAAGACGAATGGTTGACATTTTGATTTTCAGATTCTACTAAGATATTCTATAATTTTTGTATTGAAATACATTCAATTGTCCTCATTTCTGTTCTCTTTCCCTACATAAGCCGTCTAATACTGTGGTGTGATCTACTTATATCCATATAAGTAGTATATGGTGTGGGTCAGACATAGAATGTATTTTGGCAGAAGACCGATGAGGAAAGAACTGAAATGAAACGCAAACGTCTGGAAAATGCATGAGCAATGGAATAAGAGAAGAAACAGTGAAGATTGAAACAATTGGATGTTAATTTGCAAATTATAGAAGGGGTTTTGTGGAGATTTAGTATTTATCATTGTTGAAAGCGTGAGTCAATTGAAGCTAGACCACCATGGAAAACCTGGAAACACTGGACGGCCGTTTCGTCCTATTATGGGACTCCTCAGCAGTGCGCATCCACGAACCTGCTCTCGCGAGAGAGATTCGAACCCATGACCTACCAGTCTCGAGCCGAAGCCCTTAATTTGCAAATTGACTGTTCATTGTTTGGTAATCAGAATTTATTGAGATAGTCTGTAATCTTTGCTTAAATACATTCGATTGTCCCCAACTAGTGTTCTGTTCACTACAATACAACAATGTCATGTTCAACAATTTATGGTGACAATAACTGGAACTGATATTTCTCTGTTATCGCAAAAATTGACACATCAGCCTGAGAGTAGTTTTCACCTAAAAGTGGTGATCACGATTGCCTATCATGATAACTTAATCAAGTTGAGTTAGGTAAAATATTTCTTTAAGTCCTACCATGCCAGATAGTTCATTTAGGGAATTGTAAGATAAAAAGCAACAAATTTATAGTAAAAAAAAAGAAATCCTGCTTCTCCTATATAGCCAGAATCTTCAACGATGCTGCCTTTACACAATAAAAGGAGGGGGTTGGGAAATCTCAATCTTTAAAATAGTACATCTGTATCGGCCCCATAAATCTTCATCATCAACTGTAAGATTTTAAGATTACGTAAATAAAACATCAAGAACTACTCTCAAAAATTCCATTTGTGATCGGTCTCAAACAGTTGTCCAGTAGTCTCTATAGTTATGTGTTCAGGTTATCAAGATCATTACTAATCGTGTTAGCTAGTCGTATTTTCCTCTTTGTTCACACTTTGAAGAAACAAGAGACGATTGCAGTGGAATTTTTCGCATTCAATATTTAATAAATATAAAACATAGTTGTAACACCTGGACTTATATAAAACTCGCTTCTTTGAAGATAATGACTGTTAAAAAACTAGGAGATTATGTTTAAATCATGCAATAAAACTTTCTTATAATCCATATATATTATTATCAGAATGCAGGTTTGTGGAGATTGTAGTACTTTAAAGTTGAATTCAGGAGTCTATAGAAACTAGATCACCATTTAAAACACTAACTTCATTGGATGCTAGCTCAGTGGTCTAGGAGGTTAAGCTTCCGCACGCGAGACCGAAGGTCCTAGGTTCGAGTCCTTTGTGCACGACCGTCGATGCACACTTCTGAGGAATCTCATATTGGGACGAAATAGACATATCAATTAAACATTTTAATTTATGATCATGAAATCTTAACTTCAGTAAAGTGTAAATTGTGAACTTATCATAAATTTTTAGTATCATTAGGATATGAGCCACTAAGTGAACACAGTCCAAATCTTCAGTCATTAACTTCAAAGACCGGTTCATAATTAGAAATCTTTTAATTCAATCAACAAACGGAACAGAATGGGATAACAAGTGCTCGTGTATTTATATTCACACATCACATAGCCAACTCAGTTAGGGTGATATCACAGCGTCATTGACTAATTTACTTAAATATCAATAACCAGTGGTGTATGTTAGGTATGTGGATGGACATAAGTAGTATATAACAGGAATTGGAAGTAGAATGGATACAGGTAGAAGAGTGAAATAAGAAGCAGTAAAATGAAAATGAAGAGTAATCGGCATAACAACAAGATCAAAAGAATGAAGAAGTATGTAAAAGATGACTGAAGAAAGACATGCAAATGATGTATTTAATATCAGAAGGGGTTTTGTGGAGATTTAGTATTTTCATAGTTGTGAGCGGGAGTCAATTGAAACTAGACCACCAAGGAAAACTTGGAAGCAGTGGACGACCGTTTCTTCCTATTGTGGGACTCCTCAGTGGCAGTACGCATCCACGACTTCGTCTCGCGATGTATTTAATGTAAGATTTTCATATTTTACAAAAGTACTGTGTGAATTTGCATAAAACAATAAATTTGCTTCCCGTGTCTGAGCTTTTCCTCACTACACTATCAATAATCTTCACCTTTAGAAAACAATATTGTGAATACTGTTGGAAATATATGTTTACATTTTAAGTTACATTCAGATATTACCTAGATGTTACAGAAGAAGATAAAAAACTACCAACCGATTTATATCTCATCGACGATAATCCTATCTTGACAAATAAGACTCTCCATAAAGACAATGTACTTGACATATTCAATCAAATTCCTTTCATTATATAAGTAATTATGTAACTGATATCGTAAAATTAAAGTTGAAAAAATCATAAGTCAATAGAAGCTAGACCACCATGGAAAACCTGGAAGTATTGGACTTCAAGAGGTATTTCTTGGAGTTCTAGTGAGAAACAGTGACCAATGGAGTTCAACCAGGTCTGTTGTGAGATAGTAACTCACTAAAGACAATGGTGGATATGTTGCTCAATTTGGTGGATTGGTTGAAGTTAGACACTAACAGCGTTGGATGCTAGCCGACTCAATAGTCTACAGGTTAAGCGTTCGCACGCGAGACTGATAGGTCCTGGGTTGAATCTCATGTTGCGGGATCGTGGATGCACACTGTTGTGGAGTCCCACAATCGGACGAAACGGTCGTCCAGTACTTACAAGTTTTCCATGGTGGTCTATCTTCAATTGACTAATGATTCCAACTATTAAAATAACTATAATATTCACAAAAATCATACTGATAAAAATTTATTTATCTGTTTTTAAATCTTTAACTTACTTTATGTAATTGACTATTAGCTTGTTTTTGTTGTTCAGCTGTTGTACGCCATCGATGTACTTCTTCTTCGGCTTGTTTAATATGACGTTCTAATTGAAGTTTATCAGCATCTTTAATACTAGATTCTTTTAAAGCATCATCAAGTTGTTTTGCTAAACGTTGATTATTTTGATTTAATTGATTAATTCTATAAATAAACAAAATGTGTAAAATATTAAGTAGTATATATGTAATATACTACTGTTTTAAGATATTAGATGCTTAGAGATGATCGACAAGAAACACTTAAAGGGTCATTTTACTATTTAGCAAGTTGAAATTTTGTTCATTACCAGAATTCGCTAAACAAATCGATCAACTAATTAAGAGCTGCTGTAAGCTTTCAGTATAATTCTCATTATGAACAAGAATAAAAAAGCTTATGAGTTGATATCTCCCAACAGACCTGGTTGAACTCCATGGCTTACTGCTTCTCACTAGAACTCCAGGGAATACCTAATGGAGCCAGTCACCAGTGGGTTGTTTGTGGAGATTTTTAGTAATTTTTTATAGATATTTGAAATCATGAGTTAATTGAAGCTAGAGCATAATGGAAAATCTGGAAGCACTAGAAGGCCGTTTCGTCCTAATGTGGGACTCCTTTGTGGCAGTGCGCATCCATGATCCCGCCTCACAAGATTCAAACCCATGACCTACCAGTCTCGCGCGCGAGCACTTAACCGTAGCAGTAACCAGTGGAGTTGAACCAGGTCTTTTGGGAGAAATCAACTCACTGAAGACATTGATGAAATGGTTGCTCAACTTTGTGGATTGGTACAAATTCGAATATAATTAATCATTTATTCTTGGTATCAAAATTTAATTTCCCCCTTTTCCTGTTTAAGTATTTTATGCTTTTGAACCTTGTATAAGAGTAATTATCAATTACTCAATTGTTATAGTAAACAAGAACACGAGTGGAGATAATCGAATGTGTTTAAGCATAAATTACAGACTATCTCACTAAATTCTGATAAACATACAGTAAATAGTTAATTTACAAAATTACAGTCAATTATCTCAATCTTAGCTGTTCCTTCTGCAAATATCAGTCCACTTTCACTGATTTCATAGTTCATGCATTTTCGTACCGATTGCACTTCATTCCTGTTCGTTCCTTGTCGATCTTCTGCCAAACTACATTCTATGTCTGACCCTCACCATATACTACTTATATGGATATAAGTAGATCACATCATAATACAAAACAACAGTATTTGTAAGGGGACATGAAGAAACGAAATAAACATCAATAAGTCATTTTTTGATATTCTTCGCCAAAAAATAAACTATTAACCAAATTACCCATAGATCTTATACAATCAATTATCAAGAGAATTGTTATATCCCAATAACAATAGTGAATGGTAACTTTGGGATCCATTTATGGACCAATATTATGAATATAATTTTTATCGTATATTTGCTAAATAATTAAACTATTCATATTCATGTCCCTCTTATTATAAGCTTTATTTTGACCCATAGACTAGTACTATACGATTTACCATTCTTGAGTTATCCCTAGTCCATTAATTACTGTCTCCCCTATTCACAGCCACATTTGGCTAACTCTTGTACAAATGTTATTGTCTATTTTATTGGTACGATGTGGTCAGTCTGTTTGGTATATAAACTCAGTATGTTTGAAATACAATGATTCATACCTTTAGAGGCTGTTATTGGTGTTCTGGACTTAATTGGCTGGGCTAGGCAGAAGCAGGATCGATTAGCATTCTAGACTGTTCATACAGTTTCCGTATGTCACTGTTCCAATCAATAATTCGCTACTCTCTGGTTGGCGGTTTTATCAAGTCATACATAAGTTGGGCATTCACTCGGCCACGAGTTATAACAGGATTCACAAATGCAAAAGTCAACGGGAAACCTTGGACCCGGATTTCTCGTGCTACTTGGCACTCTTCAGCAAAGTGTACCTGAATTCTTTACGGAACTGGTGCTCCTTGACGGATTCAATCCCGTATCTATTTCCCCACTAATATTCTTCTTCACTACAATACTACTTATATCTCTCAATATCAATAGCATATACCATAATACAATAAAAACAAAATTAAAAACAACTACCATACTTACTGATCTTGTTTATTTCTTATAGTTTGTTGTAAATGTGCTATTTTAGCTAAACTATCCGCTTTTTCACGTTCACATTCATCAACTAAATGTCTTAATTGTTTTAATTCTGTATTATACATTGAACGAATTTTTTCAGTTTCTTTAGATAAACGATTTATTGATCCATTATCATTCATTAATTTTTTATTTTGTTCCGATAAAATACGCATCTAAAAAAAATTATGACAATAACTTAGTAACCAAGTACATGTTTATGCTAATCACTGCGATGAGTTACATATTATTTATATGATGCTACTTAACAGCTCAACATTCACTGGCTGGATACTATCAGCAACAGCATTTTATAGGAGAGCACAAACCAGCTTCTCTAGCTGAAGAGGAAATTAGGAAAAGACGTTGGAAGTGGATCGGACATACATTGAGGAAATCACCAAACTGCATCATTAGGCAAGCCCTAACTGGAAATCCGGAAGGGAAGCGGAAAAGAGGAAGACCAAAAAACACATTACGTCGGGAAATAGAAGCAGATATGGAAAGGATGAATAACAACTGGAAAGAACTGGAAAGGATTTCTCAGGACAGGGTTGGATGGAGAATGCTGGTGAGCGGCCTATGCTCCTCCACGAGGGTTAACAGGCGTAAGTAAGTAAGTAACGCAATCGAGTTATCCACTCACCTACTGAGTCTTGATAGACACTTGCTTATGCAATGGAGTGAAGTTTAAATTCATTTAGTATTGTTTGTTTGAGATGCAGGTACATTCAACTGACGAGTCCCAAATAGGACGAAACGCGCATCAAACTGGATTTCACAGCTAGCTACTATCCATCTTTGCTTATAATGCTTGTGAATCAAAACAATATCGAGGCAATACGCACAGGATGCACCTATGCTAATAAGAGACTGACCAGTTGTAGTCTTAAACATCAATAGGAAGATTCAAACAAACAATATTAAGTGAATTCAAATGATTCAGTCGTATTTACTCCTTTTATTATATCTTATGTCCAAAAGTTGTACTCATTGTAGTAAATATACCAATGTGATCTGTATTATACCAAACTTATCAATTCAACTTGAATGTCACCGACTCATTCATTTACTTTTCTAAGCATCAACATTTAGCTTAATTTATGAATTTTACTCAACATATGTACGAAATAAAGTTAAAGGTTGTCAGCAAAAAACACTATCAGGAAGCCCGCCTTAAATTTTGTGACAATCGACGCTCCCAGTACGATTTGAATCCGCACCACAGAGATTTATAGTCACAGACTTTACAACTAAGCTATTTCGTCCATAGGTAATCTTCTTCAAGACTTCAATATTTATAACTGATTGATCCCTAAGTCATAATCAGCATCTTTTTTATCTAATTTTTTTTTTTAAGTGTTGATCGAATTCTACTAACTAATTTGTTAAAGTTCTCTTTAATTACTCAATACATCGACAAACTATACACATATAGACTAGTAGTAACATTGAAAATTGATTCATAGAATTCGATCAACACTATAAAAAAAAATGGGTAGAGAAACATGATCTCAATCATCAATAATCATTCATCAATTAAATATCAAATTAACAGTTTACTTAAGTAACAATTTACCTATTGTAATTGAGTTAGTTAGTTAGTTAGTTACTTAGTGAATTCATAAAACTATTTAAAAAATCTTTTTTTGGTCAAAAACTTTAAATGAATATAAACGATTTGATTTTATGTGATAACATAATGTCCATTAACGGGATTACCTATTCATTGTTTATTAGTTTTACAATTATTATCTAACTATGAGATTGTAATTTATCACACATTTAGTCAGTCATAATGTAGAAATTTATACGTACATACATCAGTTCAAGTTGCCATACCACATGACCATCGAGATAAAATTATCGATTCAAATCCCATTGTCGTAGAGGCAGTAAGAGTATAAGCAGTAATGTGAAAGATATAATTCAAGGAGTATAATCCAGTGAAATAAATTTGAAAAGAGAAAAAAGGGATATGAAAAATTCAGGAGATTAGAATTTGGAAGAACACAAACAGTGGATACACCTTCGACATTGCAAACGATTTTAAGCCATGTCATTCAAAATCTCTAAGTATTGGTTACGTATATAGCCTCTTCCAGGGAAGTCCTACTCACTGCCTTCTCACAGCATTCAGAGGACAAAAAGCGAATGTCAGTCACTTCAACAGCGTTGGTGGACACTGAAGGTCCAACTTGGGGAATTGCAAAACCCTCATTCCAAACCAATGGTGCACATGGGCTTCAGCATCCTGAGGGAACAAACGGAGTATGAATCAACCGTTGGTCACCGACTACAGTTGGACTGCATCTCCTTACGTTGCTCCATTGCCTTGTGGATTAGATCTTTAGATCAAAAACTCCGAGTGTGTCCGACTAAGAAAACAACCTGGTCAGTATCTCAGCCATCACACAAATCAAATGAGATTTGTGCGGCGCATATGTATCTGGTGCCACTTTGTACCAATATTTATGTGTTCAAATAAATAAATAACCATCGGTTGCAATCATCTCGTGGATTCCAACCAGGTAGTCTACACCTACCAGTATGGCTCAGTCCACTTGTCACTGACTTCATGGATTTGTGCCACGTTTTGGTCTGGTCTCCCCTAGCTTTCTTCCAACCTACTCCTACAACATAAAACATCGCACATAGAGGAAGTCGGTGGTTGAGCATACGTAACACGTATCCCAGCCATCTCAACTGATGAAGTTTCAATACTTCATCAATCCATCTACTATCCTTACCTAGTACTCGTTTCCTAACGACCGCATTACTTACTCGGTGATCCCAGGATATACGAGCAATGCTTCGACAACACTAATGATCGAATACTAGTAGTCTACCAATATCCTCTACCCTTACTCGCCATGTTTCACTGTCATAAAGCAAATTTGTCACACATTCTACTGATTGCTGATAAATAATTTATTTTAAAATACTGTTAATTATAGTCTATAAAACTCGTTTATTATCAATAAATTGGAATCTGGGTATGAACAGAAAATCGTGTCTCTGTGTGTGTGTGTGTGATTCATCAATATAAACATAAATCTGTCGCATTCAAAAAAGAGAACAAAGTTACCACTGATTTCAACATTAAAGAATACATTACATTAAAATACTCAAAGTGATGAAATTCAATATAGTTATAAATAAATCTACTCATTATTGTTTTATTAAGTGAATTATCAATTCGATCGACTAGTGAATTCAACTTTGAAAATACTACAATCTCTACAAATTCTCATTGTGATATTAGTCATGTGCTCATTAGTGACTAACTTCAAGATGGATTTCCTGAAGTTCTAATGAGAAACTGTGACCAGTGGAGTTCAGTCTGTGTCGAGTTTGAGATATTTATTCACCTTAGACAATCCATGGAGGGTTGCACAAAGCTATAAACCTATTAAAGTTAGACTTTAACACCACTGTATCTCAGCTCAGTAGTCTAGGAGGTTAAGCGTTCGCACAAGAAATTAGGGTTCCTGCGTTCGAGTCCCTTTGGTGAGGGATCGTGGATTCGCAGTGCTGAGGGATCCCATTCTAGAACGAGATGGCCGTCCAGTGCTTCACATTTTCAATAGTAATCTAACTTTGAACGACTCATGAATTCAATTTTAAAAATACTACAATCTCCAAAAACGCCTATAATGACTTAGCAATTAGCAAAATATAATATTGATCTATGATAGATTTCAATTGGGAAATTCTATTTTCTGACAAAGGAGGAAAATAAAAAGTATTTTAAAAATTGACTTTCTATGAAAAACATAATCACGGTAGGGAAAATCATTCAAACGAAAACAATATATATATACATATATATTCAGTCAGTCAGCTACAACGTAGTGTGGTGTGGTCTACTTATATCTATATAACTAGTATATGGTGTGGGTCAGACATAGAATGTATTTTGGCAGAAGACCGATGACGAAAGAACTGGAATGAAGCGCAATCGTCTGGAAAATGCATGAGCAATGGAATAAGAGAAGAAACAGTGAAGATTGAAACAATTGGTTGTTAATTTGCAAATTGACTGTTCATTGTTTGGTAATCAGAATTTATTGAGATAGTCTGTAATCTTTGCTTAAATACATTCGATTGTCCCCAATCGTGTTTTGTTCACTACATTTGGTGTCGCTGCCAACCAGGAGGAGGAAGGGTGCTGTTCTGCGGACGCCGCTGCGGGTCTGGAGTGGAGGTGCTAGTTGGGGCAGTCTGGTGAGGAGAGGTGGCGTCGAGTGGAGTGTTCTGGCGGGGCGGCGTTGGCTGTAGCGGGTGCTGTCGATGGAGAGGAGCAGTGGGACGTGCGGCTGCTGGGCGGACATCGGATGTAGATGGCTCAGCAGGCCGGTGGAGTACGGGTGTTGAACGTCCCAGGTGCCGGGTGGATGCGGATGTTGGTGCCCCGGCAGGTCGACGGAGCTATGGAGGTCAGCGCGCCGCAGACTCGACATTCTGACGGAGAGTTTGGCACAGACTGCAGTGAAAGAAGATAGTGGCGTGGCGAGCAGAACCACCGCATGAACGAATGCTTTAAAGGGGGGACGAGTGTGGTGTGGTCTACTTACATCCATATAAGTAGTATATGGTGTGGGTCAGACATAGAATGTATTTTGGCAGAAGACCGATGACGAAAGAACTGGAATGAAGCGCAATCGTCTGGAAAATGCATGAGCAATGGAATTAGAGAAGAAACAGTGAAGATTGAAACAATTGGTTGTTAATTTGCAAATTGACTGTTCATTGTTTGGTAATCAGAATTTATTGAGATAGTCTGTAATCTTTGCTTAAATACATTCGATTGTCCCCAATCGTGTTTTGTTCACTACAGTAGGACCAGGCACATTTATGCATCGGTCCAAGTTGTCATAATACATATATATTTCATGTAGTATTCACCTCATAATACTTAACACTGAATTCAACATACTGTGGTGTGGTCTACTTATATTCATATAAGCAGCATATGTTGATGGTCAGACATAGAATGTAGTTTTGGCAGAATATCGATAAGGAATGAACAGGAATGAAGCGCAATCGGTATGAAAATGCATAACCAATGAAATAAGAGAAGATGGATTGATGATATTTACAGAAGGAATAGTTAAGATTGAGACAATGGATTGATAGTTTACAAATTAACTGTTTACTATTGTATGGTAATCAG